CACAGAACATCCTGAAGAAGGGTTCAGATGTTGTGTATCGGTCTGGACCGTGGAATGGTCTTCATTTTAGTGGTGCATTAAGCTCAAGAGACAGTCCTTTGTATACATTTGGGATATTCTCAAGTAAGACGGAGGTGTATTTTGGATTTTATCTCACATCTTCGGTTATCACAAGGTTGACACTAAGTCAGAATGGTGCATTACAGCGTTGGACTTGGGGTGACCGTGCACAGGATTGGATCCCTTACCTCTCAATACCCACAGACAACTGCGATGTTTACAAACTGTGTGGCGCATATGGTAGCTGCAACAGTCAAAATTCTCCTGTATGTGGATGCTTAGACAAATTTGTGCCAAAACATAATGAAGATTGGCAAAAGGCAGACTGGTCAACTGGCTGTGTTAGGAGGACTGAACTAAACTGCCTCCAGGGAGATGTATTTTTGAAGTATTCGCATATTAAATTGCCAGACACACGGAATTCCTGGTCCAATGTGACTATGACACTAGAAGAATGCAAGACTATATGCTCTAGAAATTGCTCATGTATGGCTTACTCAAATATTGACATACGCAATGGAGGAAGTGGATGCTTATTGTGGTTCAAGGATCTGCTTGACATTCGACAGCTATCTAAAGAGGGACAAGATATCTATATAAGAATAGCTGCCTCTGAATTAGGTATGTTTGTTACTGAAACAGTTAACAATGATTTGTCATTTGTAACTTGAAAATAAAAACCTAAATTTATGGTTGCTGATACTTGGGGTTAAGCAGAGGTAAACTTAAATTTCAACTGTGCTTATGCTTATAAGTATCTAGTACTAGAACGAAATTTCAAAGTCTTGCGTGCTGTATATATATATACTAGTTTCTGAGCACATGCTTCGCACGTGTGTTTCATGTGAATTTTTATAGATACGTTAGAATGACTAAAATTTCATGAAAATTTATATATGTAAATTGTAATGAACAATAAAATGCAACAATTACAAAATAAGTATAAAGACTTACGACAATAAAACATTCATAGAAAACTAAATTAAGAAGTCTAATAGAGAAAAAAAAAAAAAGACAAAAAGAAACAGATTTAAGAAAAAATACAAGGTAGACATTATTCTTATAAGACTGATACATATATAGATGGAAAAATAAGTACAAAATTAGTACATAACTCTCCGAGTTCTTATCGATTCCTTCCATATCCTATCAAAATTCAAGAGTCTTCTTCATCTACTTTAACTATAGAATAAAAATAATAATAGCCTAATAATCTTGGTAGGGATTTCATGAGATAAAGAAGTTGAATTTATATAGATAGAATAGAAGGAATATCAAAAGATATCTTAAAGTGCTAGTTTAAATATTTAGAGGTTATGAATATGAAAAGATGAGAGTTATGAATATTAAGAGTATAAAAGTTGAATAAGTAATTAGAAAATAATAGTAAATAAATGAAGAATATGAAAAAGAAAATTAAAGTTAGCAAACCATGTAGAAAGAACAACTAAAAGTTCTTATCATGTAATTAAGCATCAATGAATTTAAATTTGTGAAGCTAGAGTCATTCTTTAATAATAATCAAGAGGACATTATCAATGTGTGCGTCTCCATTTTGCAGATTTGCACCCTTCAAATTATTAAATTTCGTTAGTTATCATAAAGGATAATACTTTATCCACATAAATTATATTAAAGGAAAAAGTTATGAGAAGAGGAAAAGTATAGCAATTTAGGTATAGACTTTTTTTAATTTTTTCTTTTATATATATAGATTATAGATGATAAATATTAATAAATTAGATATTTAATTAGGAATTAATCTTAGGAAGTCTAAAAGTCATTAATATTTTAATTAATTTTTTTTTAAAAAAAATTATAATTATTATATACATATAGATTATAGATGATAAATATTAATAAATTAGATATTTAATTAGGAATTAATCTTAGGAAGTCTAAAAGTCATTTAACATTTTAATTAAACTTATACAATCAAATATTTAAATATTTTATAACAATTTAATTAATAGAAGGGGTAAAACCGTAATTCAACTTTCAACTTTTTTTGTTCATGCTTATAGTAATATATGATATATATATATATATATATGTATAGCTAGGAACTAAAACTTTAGTAGAATAAAAGGCTACTACTTAGATTGAGGTGTTGAATTTTAAAGCTAAATCTATAAGCATAATGAGTTATTGCATCTGTCAGCTAAAAATCTAAGACGAAATAAAAGAGGAATTTAGTTGGAAAAACTCATTGAGAACTAAAAATATGATTTGCAGAATACCTCTACTAAATGTCAACAAATTAAAAATGACGTACCGTACTTCAAAGTCCAGCAGAATGTTGTAACTCAATATCAGTTATCAACTCCCCCAAGTGATCAACAGGTAGAGACAGTCAAATTTATTGATTACTTTGTTGGAATGGACCTTGCAGATAGTCTGGAGAAATCAGATGGTGAAAAAGGAAGAGCACTATGCTGGATTCTTCCATTATCCGTTGGTTTAGTTCTAGTAATCCTTAGCATATTGCTGATATGCCACAGAAGAAGGAAGAAGGCTTTAAAGCTTACAACGAAAGGTAAGCTGGATAGGTCACTTTTTTGCCTGATCGTTGAGCAAAATAGAGGAAGTGAAATTCAATTAGAAGTGAAGACGGTCTTTGCTGCTTTAACACAATTCAATCAATTTCCTTTTAGCTGCAGAAAAATCGAGATACAGCGGAAGTATCAAGCAGGATTACAACAGTGGTAGTTGCACTGAAGAATTTGAGATACCACTGTTTGACTTATCTACCATAACTAAGGCTACCGATAACTTTTCAGTAAACAGAAAGATTGGAGAGGGGGGCTTTGGTCCTGTTTATAAGGTAAAAACACTTGTTTCATGGGCAATTTTGTACAAGAAAAATACCAGCTTATCACACAAAGTCTAGATGACTGACAGAAGCTTCCTGGTCCTCCAGAGCAAAGCCTTCATCTTTAGTAGGCAAAATGTAATGAATTAAGTATATGCTGGAGCGTTTTTTGACCTAAACTATACTTAAACTGATTCTCATAATTTCTCCAGTCCTTTTTCGTGGGAAGCAGCTTACTTTGTACCTTATACTTTCAATTTAGATATTATTTATTGTTTTTGAGAAAAAAGATATAAAATATATCGGAAACAATCTCTCTACCTTCAAAAGGTAGTGGTAAGGTTGTGTACACACCAGTTACCACCCTCCCCAGACCCCACTTGCGGGATTACACCAAGTATATTGTTGTTGTACGTTATGTAAAATATTTAACTTGCAGATTTTGATGTTTAGGGAATACTTGAAAAAGGACGAGAAATAGCTGTCAAGCGGCTGTCTAAAACATCCACGCAAGGAGAAGATGAGTTCAAGAACGAAGTGGTATATATTGCCAAACTTCAGCATAGAAATCTTGTGAAGATTCTTGGATGTTGCATTGAAGGAGAAGAAAAAATGCTGATATATGAATACTTGTCAAACGGAAGTCTTGATTCATTTATATTTGGTAACAAATTCCCATACCAATATTGTGTATTCTGAATTATCTTCTCCCAGTTTCGAATCTCCCATCAAATAAGAAAAAAAAAAACATGTAAGGAGTGAACTAAAACCTCAGCTTTATTAGAGCCTAATAATAATGTACACAGTAGCCCACATTGATCTTTACGTTCAATACGTGAATGGACGGATTTAGTTTGATGTTTTAGAACTACTTTCTATCTATAGCTTAGTGAACCAACAAAATTTGGCAGGTGGCAGACAAAGCAGGATATTAGACTGGTCTGAGCGATTTCACATCATCAATGGGATTGCTCGGGGACTTGTGTATCTGCATCAAGATTCTCAACTGCGGATAATTCATAGAGACCTGAAAGCTAATAACATCTTGCTAGACAATGATATGAATGCAAAGATATCAGACTTTGGTATAGCAAGATGCCATGAAGAGGATGGTAATGAAGCCATGACAAACCGAGTTATTGGAACATAGTAAGAATCTATTACTGGGTAGTAGGAAATGCTTGAGATAGTTATGTTTTCCAGCATTAGTAACTATATTTTGTGTACATTTTCTGCAGCGGATACCTCTCACCAGAATATGCGCTATATGGGCAATACTCTGTAAAATCAGATGTGTATAGCTTTGGTATCTTAGTACTGGAAATTGTGAGTGGAAAAAGCAACAGACGATTCGCTCCTTCAAACCTTAACCGTAGTCTAATCGGGCATGTAAGATTTTTATGTATTTTTCTTATTTATACATTGGTGTTAGCAACTAACAAGTATCTTGCAAGGCTAGTGATGCTTATAAGCTTGTAAAATCTACAGGCATGGGAACTCAACAAGGAAGGTAGGTCAATAGAACTACTTGATGAACGCGTAGGTGATTCTTGTTCTACACCTCAAGAAGTGGTACGATCAATTGGTGTTGGTCTATTATGTGTCCAAGAACGTCCAGATGATCGTCCAAGTATGTCTTCCGTAGTTCTAATGTTAAACAATGAAGGTACGCTGCCTCAGGCTAAACTACTAGCTTTTTACATGGAAGGAGATGCATCAGATACTGAATTACTTTCTACCCAATCACATATTACAACGGATGACACCCCGTTAGAAATTAGATGAAAAACAGAGAACAGTATGCATTCTAACAAATTATAGTTAGCCCCTTCCTCTCAGAATATATATTTGACATTTTATCCACACATAACATCTCTTTTTTTCGAATGACATACATTTATACCTTTTAGCATTTCTTAACGAGTTGCAGGAGATGTTACTGGAGATCTATCACTAGCTAGTTTTTAGGTTTTTGCATAGCATTTGTTTTGAGACCGAAACATAAGAAACCTCTAAAATAAAGGGGACTAAGAAAAGCAATAGCAAATAAATAGGAATCCAGCAAAAAGTTAGTAACTAGAAAATTTTACCATAAAAAATATAAGACAACATAAATTTTGACAGAATCTGCAGTTCATCCATAGTACAGCAACGTACCAAGAAGTAAAATGAAAGCAAAAAAGCTACTTGAGAAAATAAAAAAGAGATGATAGAGGAGTTTGTTCCATGAAAAAGTGTTGTTGGTTCGTTGCGTACTCAGATCAACTGGCTCTAAATCTGATCGAAAAGGGAAAACTTCTTGAACATCACGGCATTTATTCAGTTTCACCTCGTTAAAACTCTTATCTTGCAGCTTGTAAAAGTAAACTTTATAGTAATCTTTCATCAAAGCAATGTCTGCATTATAAATCCCAGAAGGAGTTGGAAAATTTGTCACCTCCTTTATACTTTCAATGCCTACTTCCTTTTTCAACTCCCAAACATGATTCTCATTCTCGAAAACCCAAAGCCCTATCCCTCTTGGTGACAAACAGGTAAACCCAAGCTTCCCATTATACTCCACAAGTTGGTTATATCGATAATCTTCATAATCAAAAGCTTGATTTGGAAGCAAAAATCTGGGGAAAGCCTCTTCCCCATTGTAGTCTAGAGCCATTACTAGATCATCGCGTAGTTTGAAATAAACCAAACCACTTGCATTAACTACTGGAGCAAACATGTCAAAGCACAAAAATTCAGGGACTAACAAATTTTTTTCTTGCTTCCACTTCCAATGTTCTGAATCAAAAACTTCACGACGATAGTAATCCTTTCCTAATACTCTGTAATGATGATAAGAAGTCCGAGGTGATGACAACCTTATGATCTTGAAATGCAGAGGATTAGATTTCAGCACAATGAGGGCAACTTTGACAGTTTCAAATCGTACTCTAGGATTCGGTAGTTTTATCCATTGTTTAGTACTTGGCTTGCAAATATAATATCTATATCTGCTTCCAATTCTTCTAACACAACAGAGCATGCCCTGTTTTGTGGAGGCGACTATCTTCATGTCAAAATCTCTGCAAGGCATTGTTGTAATATCATTAATAGGAAGATGGAACGGGGTTTTAGTATCCCCCGAACACCCATCCATTGATACAAATTCTGTAACATGCTTGTTATTTAAGAGAGTTTGGACAAAATATCCAGAAATATTTTGGGTTCTTTGACAGAATTGTGGCATGAAATTCGATTCGAAAACTATATCATGACATTCTTTATTAACGGCCTTGCATGCATCTAATGTTTTCAAAGATGTTCGAGTTAATATTTCAAATATTATTTCCGAAGGGAGTGGAGAAGAAGAAGAAGAAGAAGAAGCCATTGTATGCATGGAAATAGGAGAAAAAATAATTCTATGGTCTATTTATAGAAGCTTGAGATAAAGAGCATTCCAAAATTGAGTAGGAAAAGAATTTGGAAATTAATTAATAGCTTTTCCTTTTTTAATTCCTGAAGGGTTAGGAGTAGTATAAATTTAATTATTAGGGTAACCAAATCTTGTAAAGAAATAATTATAGTATTTTTTTTGTAATTAAGTTAATTTTATGGTAATATCACAAATACATAATACTACCTCCGTCCACTTTTATTTGTCGTGTTGCGCTTTTGAAAAGTCAATTTGACTTATTTTTAAAGTTAAATTAGATTACATTAATTCAATATAAATATTCAAAAACTATACTAAAAGTACTATAAATTGCAATTTCTTGCATATCAATATGATGAAAAAATGCACCGTAAAACGTTAGTCAAAGTTCTTATAGTTTGACTATAAAAAAAAAACCATGACAATTAAAAGTGGACGGAGGGAGTATATATTTCTCTACTCTTTTTTTTTTGGGAAAATTGTATGAAATAACAAACTATTAATTCAAATTAAATGATATAGCCATAGTTTATTTTAATTGTAATTTGCAGCAAACATCCCCTTTTTTTGCCATCTGATTCGATATACAATTAGCCATTTTCGGTACACAAGTAGCCATTTTATACATTTCGGTATAAAATGCATTTATTTTTGTATAAAGCGAGAGAAAAGTGTATATACAAATACAATACATATATTTTCGTCTTATACACTTATAATTATATAAATACAGATCTTATTATACAAATTACAATGTATAAATTTACTGAACAATTTATATAAAACTGGATGTTTGTAGTGAATTATACAAATCAAAAGCTCCATAGCAAACATAAAATTTGGTATGGAGCGCAATTATGCAAACTATAGCTATAACATACAATTTAAGATTATGGTATTATTATTTTTCTTATAAAATATTAACATAGTTAGAATCTTATTTTAATCAATTAAATCTTAGCCATTAATTTTTATGTGTCATGTGTCTCACATCTAAGCATAGAACTTGGGAAAATAGAGAGAAGGGAAATGGAGAGGAGCAAGATCCTTCTTGAATTTAATTATTAGGGTAACAAAATCTTGTAAAGAAATAATTATAGTATTTTTTTTTTGTAATCAAGTTAATTTTATGGTACAATGGCAAATACGTAATATATATTTCTCTACTCTTTGTTTTTTCCTCTTAGTTTTTCTCACATAAAAAATTGGATCCACAAAATTTAAGATGAAATAATATAGTCTAATTACACTCCATAACTATAGTTTGCTAATTACGATTCGTAGCTACATGTTATAGGGAGGAGAGTGGCGAGCGAGACTGGGAGAGAGAGGAGAGAGGCGAGCGAGAGAGTGGTGAATTGTATATGTATATCGGTTAGATAATTGTATATTTACACATATGTTTTTGTATATTCTGGCGAGAGATTGGGAAAGGGATGAGAGAGGCGAGCGAGATTGGGAAAGAGAGGAGAGAGGCGAGCGAGATTGGGAGAGGGAGGAGAGAGGCGAGCGAGAGAGGACAATAATTTATATAATTCACATCTCGTTTGTATAATTCACGTGTTTTTGTATAATTGGGTAATATAAAGTCTGGAATTATACAAATATAATAAAACTCGAAATAACAAATTGATACAAACATAAACGTATGAACATTAAACAATTATACAAAATATATTATACAGATTACATTATATAAATTATATTATACAAAATCCAAAAACTACACGTTTATACAAACTTTAAAAAGTTATACACAAAAAGATTGAATGTGTATGATGACAAAATTGAAAAATCAAAGGAAATCATCATCATATATAAATACAAACAATCGTATACAAATACAAATTAAACAAGAATTGTTAGCTGCGAATTATACAAATGTGGCGAATTATACATATACAAACGTGGCTAATTATACAAACTCAAAGTCAGCCCATGTAATTAATGTATAATGTTAGTCGCGAGTGGTAATTATAACAAACTATAGCTGTGATGAGTAATTAAATAGTATAAATTTGCTTAACCACATAATTTTCCCCATATATATCCAAAGGGAATTTTTTTATCTAAATAAATAAATAAATACTAGTTAGACTCTGCATGCCTGCAATGGTTCATAAAAAAGTCTACAAGAATTATTCAAATCAGACAACAATATCTATGTATTTTTTTTAAGAGTTTGATGCAATATAATTCACAGAAAGTTGAGGTAAATATTGGCAAATCATGAATGTATTTTAAAAGAATCCTATTTAAAAATAAATAAAAAAAGAGGAGAATGCTTATACACGACAAAGTAGCAACATTTAACTTAAACGATAAAAAAAATGCCAGTTTCAATGTTTCATAGCCCGCGATTCCATTTTATATATTATTGGTTCAATTTATCAATTTTTTATTTTTAATAATTCAATTTTTAATTTAATCGATAACAAAATACTCATTAATCATATACTATACACTATATTCATAAAATAGAAATCATAGTAAGAATAAAAGTACGAGACAAATTTTTACACATTAATCCATATCTTTTTTTGCTTCCATTTCTTTCTTTTTTACATAATTGTACCTTGCATTTTCGATGGGGATATCAATATCCACCGAGTGTTTTAATCATGACAAACTAATTGACAATGTTCAGGGAAGCGTGAAGCGGAAAAAAGCGATAAGCCCCGCTTCACGCTTTAAGCAATGAACGCTTTAAGCGATGAAGCGCTCACATACTCATCAGTCTAGAGGCTTGCATCGCTTCACTTTCCTGAACACTGCGAATTGAATCCTTGAAGTGAAACATATACTAAAAACATCGTCTATAAGAAAGTATTAGGTAAAATATAAATATATTATATGGTAGTGCCCAATAACATCAAAATCGCAACACATTGTACATTTTAAATACAAAAATAATTTTGTTGTTCAAATTTTGCAGGTATGTAGAAAGTTAAAATTATTTTACGTTCAGTTAAAAAAAGTCATTTGCATTGGCTAATTTTGGTGTTTACTTTTCCATTTTAAATTAAGTGTTTCTCATTAGCAATTTTAATGACTTATATCGTACATACTATTTGTTGCATGCATGTGCAACACACATCTAAAAATACTTCGAATAAAATACACTGATTAATATGAACGTCGGTGCATGGAATTGAAAACGTAGCATTTATATAGTACCAAAATGAATCATAATCTGAGAGGTCCATTTTTATTTTTATTTTTACTAAATATTGGTCATTTATAAACAATGCTGATCAGATGTTACATCCCTAGTTGGGACCAGACGCTCAGTTTTGGACACATGAGTACTTGAAGTTACTATGATGAAAAAGAAAGGAATGCAGTATTATTATTATTATTATTTGAATAGACAACGACCTTTTGACTAGTCTTTTCTTTCTGAATGGAGATGGTATAAAATCCAAATGCAGAGTCTACAAAATTCTGAGAACTAACCGCAAAAGACAGCCTGGAAAGACAGAGACAGGATTTCAACATAAAAAGGTGTGGATGAGCGGTAATGGCTGGGGAAGGGGGCAAGTACATCCTTTTGTTCTCAGTTCGTGGGAATTGCTTCCATCACTAACCAGTTCAGCTCGGCTAGTGGGCTTTTGTGTTCGAACCTCGAATCCGGACCTGTTCGACAAGACCAGATCCATCAACAAACCTAGGTCCAATATTTGCGTCTACGAGCTAGCCATCAACAGACGGACATCCTTTTACCGCAGTCTTCCCCTATTGGGCATAGACTTTTCTACGTTAGGCTCCTGTAAGGGCGGGTATGAGAAGGGTCCCCCTCTCCCTTGTCAAAGCTTAGTTATCCGTGAATGAGAACTCGTTTTGCTTGTTGGCTGGCTTATGATGGTTTCCTGTCCCAATTCAACATATTCCTTTTTTTGCTCCTGCTTGGTAGCAGGCTTGTGTGCGAGCTTGGTCCGGTTTCGATTCCTAAAGCCCACGGAGAAGGGTGTGGAGCCTCGCTTTCCATGCTGCTCCTAGTTCGTGGGAATTGCTTCCATCAAATAGCCGTACCATTAACTGATTAAATTAAAAATAGCTACATTGGGGTAAAATGCTTTCTAACAAATGCGACTTCATATCCAAAAAGATTCAAACCCAAGACTTTTAATTAAGAATGAAGGAGTCACATCACCACAACTGTGTCAGTGATTTGATGTTGTTGTTGTAAGCAAATAAGATAGAACATGGCCCCAACATCCATGTGTGGCTGTGATTAAATTCAACTATTCATTATAAACAAATAATCTCAAAACCAAAGAATACGATGAGTATTAATCAAACCAGCCAAGCTAAGGTGTGTTCAAATAGGACTTGGGTCAAGTGTCATCAATATGCTGCATGAACTGGTCATAAGAGTCGGAAGGCAGACTTGCTAAGCACTTCGACATAGAGGAAAGACAACACAACGTCTATTGGATCACAAAGCATGAAGGAATTGCTAAGGGAGAGTTTTCACTTATTCTTGCTCATGTATTTGTATTTTGTTCAACGCAGCATTGGCGCTACAGATACCATAAGTACAACCCACTTTCTGAAAGATGGTGATGCCAATATTACTTCACCTGATGGAACCTTTGAAATGGGGTTTTTCAGTTCAGGTAGTTCCAAAAATCGCTACGTGGGTATGTGGTACAAAAGCTTATCTGTTAGGACAGTGGTGTGGGTTGCCAACAGAGAAGCTCCCTTGACCAGTGGATCAGGTATCCTTAAGGTTATTGAGCCAGGACGTCTCGTCCTTCTCAATGACACTAACAAAGTTGTATGGTCAACTAATACCTCTACATCTGTGCAGAATCCCATTGCACAGTTGCTGGATTCTGGGAATCTTGTCGTGAAACAAGCTGGTGATGATAATTTCCTTTGGCAGAGTTTTGATCACCCAACTGATACACTATTACCAGGCATGAAGCTTGGTTGGAACTTTTTAACTCACAGAGAGGTGTACTTGTCATCGTGGAAGACCCAAGAGGATCCAGCTCCAGGTGATTATACATATCACTGTGATCCTTCTGGATATCCACAGAACATCCTGAAGAAGGGGTCAAATGTTGTCTATCGATCAGGGCCGTGGAATGGTCTTCATTTTAGTGGAACAAGAAACCCAAGAGGCAGTCATTTATACAAATATGAGATATTCTCAAGTAAGACACAGGTTTATTTTGGATATAAGCTCATATCTTCAGTTATCACAAGGTTGATACTTAATCAGAATGGTGCCCTAAAACTTTGGACTTGGGGTGATCATGTATCTGATTGGATCCCTCAACTCTCAATACCCGCAGATAACTGTGATGCTTACAAACTGTGTGGCGCATACGGGACTTGCAACAGTCAAGATTTTACTGTATGTAGATGCTTAGACAGATTTGTGCCCAACAATAGTGAAGCTTGGAAGAAGAGAAACTGGTCAGGTGGCTGTGTTCGGAAAACAGAACTAAATTGCCTTCAAGGACATAGATTTTTGAAGTATTCACATATCAAATTGCCAGACACACGGAATTCCTGGTCCGATGTGACTATGACACTTGAAGAATGCAAGAATACCTGCTCTAAAAATTGCTCTTGTATGGCTTATGCAAATCCTGACATACGCAATGGAGGAAGTGGATGCTTGTTGTGGTTCGAGGATCTGCTTGACATTAAGGTGGTTTCCGATGAAGGTCAAGATATCTACATAAGAATGGCTGCTTCTGAACCAGGTAGGTTTTGTTGTCACTTAAAGATTTTTGATGGATTACCTGAAAATAGTAAAAGAATGTATGGTTGCAGTCACTTCTTTGGAACCAATTGATAGGTATTTAGTTTTCTGTAGAACAAGAAGTTGAGATGCATGCGGCTTGAATCAAAGAAAAAATCTTCTCAAAATTAAAGAGATTTATAGTAACATTCAAAAATTAAAAATGACTTGCATTATATTGAATTCTAGAACCCTTACAACTCAATATCAACAAATTCAAAATGATGTGCAGTACTCCAAAGGCTTACAGAATCTTTTTTAATTCAATATAAAATTATCTCCCTCGTGGATTGGACAGAAAGTGAAATTGATTATTTTTGCGGAATGGATACTTGCAGATAGTCTGGAGAAATCAGATGGAAAGAAAAGAAAAGTACTTTTCTGGATTCTGCCATTATCAGTTGGTCTGATTCTGGTAATTCTTAGCATGTTGATCTTCCATAGAAGAAGGAAGAAGGCTTTACAGCTCAAAAGGAAAGGTAAAATAGGATAAATCTCATTTTTTATTGACATCTTAGCAAAATCAAGGAACATAATTCAAAGAAAAGTGAAGAACTTTAATATTTGGTCTGGATCACAGCTTAAACAAAATTCACTTCGTTTGCAGGCAGGTAGGTCCGGACGCAATGGCAACTACAAGATGGATCATAGTGGTAATTGTGAGGAAGAATTTGAGATACCAATGTTTGACTTATCTACCATAATGAAGGCTACCAATAACTTTTCAATAGACAGAAAGATTGGAGAGGGGGGCTTTGGACCGGTTTACAAGGTATAACTGGTGCACAGGCAAAAACTTCCTGATCCTATAGAGTAAAGTTTCATCTTTAGATTCAGTATAGAAGTTGTATGATGAAATGCATAATGAAATAAAGCTTTGGCTTGTGAAACCGAAGGAGACATACACAATAGCTAAGGAAGAACAAGGATACGGTGGAACACAAACTGATTGTCTCTTTCTAATTGGAACACAATTGACTCTGTGTACTTCCTACATCAAGTAAGGTAATGAAAATATTAACATGCAGAAATTGTGATGTTTAGGGCATACTTGAAGGACGGGAAATAGCTGTCAAACGGCTGTCCAGAACTTCCAAACAAGGAGAAGGTGAGTTCAAGAATGAAGTTTTATATGTTGCAAGACTTCAGCACAGGAATCTGGTGAAGATTCTTGGTTGCTGCAGTGACGGGGAAGAAAAGATGTTGATCTATGAGTACTTGCCGAATGGGAGTCTTGATTCATTTATATTTGGTACTATTCTCCATCCAATATTGTGCAAATTAAATAAATAATTGTGTTTCAGTGATGATGCCTATAGTAATACTTCATTAATCTTTTTTATTTTGAAGTAAAAGTAACTAGTAGTACTTTGGTAATTTTGTTCCAATTATGAAAGCCCCATAAAGCAGGAAAAATATTGATAGACCAAACCTGTTGTGGGAGTATTTAATACTACTTTCTCCTATAACCAATTAGTCAGTTAATGACCCAACAAAAAAAATTGGCAGATGACACACAAAGCAAGGCATTAGACTGGCCTAAGCGATTTCACATTATCAATGGTATAGCTCGGGGACTTATGTATCTGCATCAAGATTCTCAATTGAGAATAATTCACAGAGACCTGAAAGCTAACAACATTCTGCTAGACAAGGACATGAATCCAAAGATATTAGACTTCGGCTTGGCAAAAATATGTGAAGAGGATGACATTGGAGCCATGACAAACCGAGTAGTTGGAACATAGTAAGAACCTTCCACTGGATAGTATTATTTTGATAAGATTTACTGGATAATAATTTGAACCAAAGAAGAATCTTCAGTTAGTAAAGGCATGTTTTCCAGCATTACTAATTATAATGTTGCGCACATTTTAATGCAGTGGGTACCTCTCACCGGAATATGCATTGCACGGAAAATACTCAGTAAAATCAGATGTATTTAGCTTTGGTATTTTAGTATTGGAAATTGTCAGTGGGAAAAGCAACAGAAAATTCTCTCATCCAGATCATAACCTTAATCTACTCGGGCATGTAAGATTTTACTTGTTTTATTTCTTATTTTTTTGATAACCGAGGTGTTGGAGCCAACATACTTGAGCCAAGCGTCTATCAAAAATAGTCTCTCTACCAACGAGGTAGTGGTAAGGCCTACATACACACTACCCTCCCCAAACTCCACTTGTGGGATTATACTAGTTATGTTGTTGTTGTCGTGGTGCCGAGGCCAGCTTGCGCACACCTCAACTTATTCCATGGGATACCTGCAAACTCCCACCACCAATAGGTACCGGGTAACTCTGTCCAACAAGGTTAGGACTGATGGGAAGAAATTGCCTAGTGTTTTTTGTCTCTGCTGGAATTTGAAACTGATCATCGACCACTAGGTCACACCCTTGGGTGCAGTTGTTTAATTTTATTTATTCCTTGGTGTATGTTATATACTAGTAACAAATATCTTGTAAAACGACCCCTGCTAATAAGCTTGCAATATCTACAGGCATGGAAACTTTATATACAAGGTAGGTCAATAGAACTACTTGATGAATGCCTAGGTGATTCTTGTTCAACATCTGAAGTGGTACGATCAATTAGTGTTGGTTTATTATGTGTCCAACAATGTCCTGAAGATCGTCTAAGTATGTCTTCCGCAGTTCTGATGTTAAACAATGAAGGTGTGTTGCCGTTGGCTAAACAACCAGGTTTTTACATAGAAGGAAATGCACCGGGTGGTGATTTCACTCCTAGCCAATCTGCACAGATTACAGTGAGTGACACCCCCATCACAATACTAGCTGCTCGATAGAAGATATTGGTTCACTTGTTTGCAACAAGCTTGCAGTTGCAATGATCTTTTCTTAATTCTCTATAGTAATGTGGTGAAAAAAATGTGTGCATGATTGTGCTTTTTTAGGTGTATCAACTATGTCAAACATATGTAGGAAGCTTGCTGACTGGCTGTTACTTTGATTTGCGCAGTATATCTGATACTACGTCTCACTTTGTTTGATTGAGTATTTTTTTTTGGTTAACTTTATATATAAGTCGAGTGAAATACTTCCGTTAAGCAAAATTTAATGGCTGCAACTAATTTATTAGAAAATGTTGTGGGATTAATAAGGAAAAGGGCACATTAATGAAGTTCAAATCATTAGTCTCAAACCTGAACACAAGATTTAATTAGAATATGATGACGTTACACCCGTCCCTAAAACTGTTTTGTTATGTCATATGTGTGTGCTTATTGGATAAATTTTAGATATTATGTTTCTTCCATAAAGAATTGACCTCAGAGTTCTCAACCACTTCATTGACCACTAGGTCTCTCACCCTTGGGTGCAGTAGGTTGCATTATTTTTGCAGTATATGACCATCTATCCCGAGGCAAAGATGTCTCATCGTTTTTTGCAGTTTAGTTGTTACTTTAACTGCAGTATTTTGTTCATTTTCTATTGTAATTCAAGCTTGACATCCAAATTGCTCAAAGGGCAAAGAGTCAAATTTGCTCAACTATATGAAATGGTCTATATATACTCTTCATTAATTATTGGCGTCAATGGTGTCCTTGCCATCTTAAAATTGGGTTATATTTGCCCTAATTGACCAACAAAACTGATTAGCACAGTTTACTACAACTTTTCCATTATTTAATGACGGAAAAGAATCAATTTACGGAAAACGTCTAGCCTCCATAAATAATTTGGGTGAATCACAATTAATCAAGCTTTGACGCAATAAACCCAACCAATTAACAAAAATTGAATAGCTAATGCATGTCAAAACTCAAATGACAACAATGCAGATGATATTTTCCATTTCACAAGTATAGCTCTAGATAATACTAAAACAATTAGAATAAGCAGGAACTAAAATCATCAATAAGCAAGGAGAAGAGTACCGTAACCATAAACTCGCCATATTGAGCCTCTGTCGTCATGTATATATTCACAGTCCAGAATTCAATTCAGAGCGTCACCAAACTCAACGTTGCATTAAACTAGCCATAGATCTCAGAGAGTGAAATCGGAGCGGGAGGGAACGCAGAGAGGAATTTAGAAACAAAGAGGAGAAGCAGACATTGAACGTAGAGAGAATAGAGAAAGGGGAAGGCGAAGCACAGAGAGAGGACACACTTTTCCCACAATAATAATAATAATAAAAATAATAATAATAATAATAGCATTTTGGTCACTAATTATTGGTGAATTCTGTTTTTGGTCCTCCTAATAGGTGATTTAATACAACAGAAAAGGGTCAAATATACTCATGTAGGCATGTAGTATAGAAAATAGTTCAAATATACCCTTCCTTATACTTTCGATTTAAATATATTTCTACCGTTATACTTTGGTACATATGATTCCCTAATTTTAACGGAGGGACACATGTCAGCTTAAGAATCATATAACTTACTTTCCATTTTACTTATCACTATGTTTAAAAATAAATTTTTATTTTTACTTATTAACATATCAAGAAAAGATAATAGTTTTTTTTTCTATTTTTTACCCTCAAGATTAGTTACTTATTCCCAAATTATTTCTCAAGACCTAAAGACCTTCAATTAATATGGATATTGTAATAAATACTCACATTAGTCATTATTTTTTTAAGGCATGCAAAGTCTAAAATGGATTAATAAAAGTGAACGAAGAGCCTATTTAACCTTTGATTAATTAAAATAATGTGTTTTTGGTTCCTTTAGGTAGAAGAGGTGTTATATTAGCCTTAGAGATGAAATAAATTAATCTTATATTTTATTTGAAATTATGATCCCTTAATGATTTAAACATTGTGGTCATGTTAACAAATTGGAAATTGACAAATGGGGAACTTGCTAGATTTTTTTGGCTAGCTAGTGTGAGCAAACTCAAATTATATATATACATATTAAAATGTTGATTGAATATTTATAAATATCTAAAAATAAACCTTTATCAACTCAAGAATATTGCTTTAGGAATCCACAAACTTTAAAACTTGAATTTGCCACTGCAAACTAGCTAGTACGTATTTCCGAGTGCAATAACATACTATTTTGTAATAATGCATAATAACTACTCCTAAAATAATACTAGTATTAAGATGCTTAAATAGAAACAGACAATGGTAAAGCGTAAAATCCTGATGCATGCATGTTTGTGGCAACTTTTCAAAAGTGGCGGGAATGAAAATGAATTTGAAACACTGAGAAATCCATTTTTTTTTAAAAAAGATATCAAACGTGCGTGAATAAAGAAATGGAGACTCAAAAGTGGGGGAAAAGACAAATTGTTAAAGGGTACAAATATTATCGAGCAAATTATAATAAAATTACTCTTTTGTTTCAGCCAATAAGATTGATCCATTGTGAGTAACTGACAAAGACAATATCGAATATAAAATTACAAAGTATAGATCATGCTTGGCTTTTTAATTTTAAAAAATGTTTTTGCATTATTAATGTCCTACTAGCCATAATTAACCACACTACTTCTCAATTAAGCAAACAACGCACACAAACATTAGTGGAAATGACAATCATTTTGATGTAGAGTTAGATTTACTATTTTCCTTGGTAATGATATATAATAGGACTCTGATTGTGATTTAATTAATGGGAAGTCGAAGCATGAACGTGCCATTAAACGCAGTTGTTTTTGGCACATTCATGCTTGTAGTCTTTTCTTCCATCTACCTATGTTTTTGCGCTACAGATACAATAACTACGACAGATTTTCTCAAAGATGACGAGGACAATTTTATTGTATCACGTGGTGGAACCTTCGAAATGGGATTCTTCAGTCCAGGTAAATCCAATAATCGCTATGTGGGGATATGGTACAAGAACATATCTGTTAGGACCGTGGTGTGGGTCGCGAATAGAGAAGCTCCTCTGACTAGTACAACTGGTATTTTGAAGGTCATTGAGCCAGGAATTCTTGTCCTTCTCAATGACAGTAGCAATGTTGTATGGTCAACTAATACTTCGAGATCCGTGCAAAATCCAGTAGCACAGTTGCTGGATTCAGGGAATCTTGTTGTGAAACAATCACAATCTGGTCATGGTGTTAGTGATGGGAATTTGCTTTGGCAGAATTTTGATCACCCAACTAATACACTATTACCAGGCATGAAGCTCGGTTGGAACTTTGTAACAGGACGAGAGGTGTACTTGTCATCATGGAAGAATGAGGAGGATCCAGCTCCTGGTGATTATACATATCATTGTGATCCTTCTGGTTATCCACAGAACATCATGAAGAAGGGATCAGATGTTGTATATCGCTCTGGACCGTGGAATGGTCGTTCTTTCAGTGGATCACAAAACTCAAGAGAATGTCCTTACTATACAATTGGAGTATTTACAAGTAAGACAGAGTTGTACTTTGGATATAAGCTCACGTCTTCAGTTATCGTGAGGTTGATATTGAGTCAGAATGGTGTGTTACAACTTTGGACTTGGGGTGACGGAAAACAAGGTTGGGTCCCTTTCCTCTTAATACCCGCAGATAACTGTGATACGTATAAGTTGTGTGGTGCATATGGTAGCTGCAACAGTCAAGATTTTCCAGTATGTGGATGCTTAGACAAATTCGTTCCCAACAATAGTGAAGCTTGGAAGAAGACAGATTGGTCAGGTGGCTGTGTTCGGAGAACTGAACTAAATTGCCTTAAAGGAGACGTATTTTTGAAGTATTCACATATCAAATTGCCAGACACACGGAATTCCTGGTCTAATGTGACTATGACACTAGAAGAATGCAAGGATTTCTGCTCAAAAAATTGCTCTTGTATGGCTTACTCAAATGCTGATATACGCAATGGAGGAAGTGGATGCATATTGTGGTTAGAGGATCTGCTTGACATTCAGCAGGAATCCAACGGAGGGCAAGATATCTACATTAGAATGGCTGCTTCTGAAGCAGGTATGTCTTATTGCTATCTAACATGTTTTAATAGAAACGCAAGCTGCTACTTTAGATAAATGGATACTTGCAGATAATCTGGAGAAATCAGATGGAAAGAAGCGAAAAGTACTTCAATGGATTCTGCCATTTGCAGTTGGTGCGGTTCTGGTAATTCTTAGCATGCTGATCTATCATAGAAGAAAGAAGAAGACTTTAGTAATCAAAAAGAAAGGTAAGCTTGATAAATCCCTTTTTGTCCTGACATCTTAGCAAAATAGAGGAATACAAATTCAAATAAGAGGCATGATACTTAAACGTGTCCTTTTAACTTGGCTTCATCTATGCCTTTCAACTTTGGGCATGCATATACACAGACACTTAAACTTGTATATAGTTGAAAAAGTAGCTAGACACACACAGGGGCGGACCCACGTTGGTTCCAGGGGGTTCACCCGAACCCCCTCGGCAAAAAATTACACTGTATATATAAGGTAATTTTCTGTATTTATTTTGGATATATATATTTTGAACCCCCTCAATGACAAGGAAAAAGAGATAGCCTAGTGGTATTTTCCCTGAAAATTAAGTCTCAAGTTGAGGGATCGAATCCCTGCAGTAGCGTTTTATTTTTTTCTTTTTCAATTTCAGTTTTTTTTTGTTTTTTTTTAAGGTTTCAGTTCCGTTTTCACGTTTTTTTTTGTTTTTTATTTTATAAAACATGCTAAAAGTGTGGTTTTAAACCCAAAAAAATTCAAGGGTCCGCCACTAAAACTAAATACTACTACTTTCTTGAAATCTTGTTTTGTTGGCTTATATATACACGTTTATACTTTTATTTTTCGAACCCCCTGAACGAAAATCCTGGATCCGCCACTGGACACACACATCCTACTTGGCAGCCTACGTTGAAGGGCATGGATGCGAGACCAAGTTAAAGGGCATATTTATGTATTATGCCTAAATAAAAGTTAGAAGAACTATCAGATTTGTCTGGAATTCACACCTTAACAATATTCACTTGATTTGTTTTTGGCAGGTAGTTCGGGATTAAATGGCAGCTCCAAGATGGATTACAGTGGTAGTTGTGCTGAAGAATTGGAGATACCGCTGTTTGACTTATCTACCATAATGAAGGCTACTAATAACTTTTCAATCGACAGAAAAATTGGAGAGGGGGGCTTTGGACCTGTTTACAAGGTATATCTGATTGTTTCTTACATCAATTTAGGTAGTGATGCTATTAACATGTGGAGATTGTGATGTTTAGGGAATACTTGAAGGACTGGAAATAGCTGTCAAGCGTCTGTCTAGAACATCCACACAAGGAGAAAATGAGTTTATGAATGAAGTTGTATATATTGCCAAACTTCAGCACAGAAATCTGGTGAAGATTCTTGGCTGTTGTATTGAAGGGGAAGAAAAAATGTTGATATATGAGTACTTGCCAAACGGCAGTCTTGATTCATTCATATTTGGTATATTACTCTCCGTCCACTAAAAGCATATTATATAATAACTTCATTTCAGTTACCTGATGCCTATAGTACTACCGTTTAAATAGTACATCTAATTAGGGTGTTGATGACCAAAAACATTTGGCAGATGAGACACAAACAAAGGTACTAGACTGGCCTAAACGATTTTACATTATCAATGGTATAGCTCGGGGACTTATGTATCTGCATCAAGATTCACAATTGAGAATAATTCACCGGGACCTGAAAGCTAACAACATTCTGCTAGACAAGGACATGAATCCAAAGATATCAGACTTCGGCTTGGCAAAAATATGTGAAGAGGATGACGTTGGAGCCATGACAAACCGAGTTGTTGGGACACAGTAAGGACCTTCTGTTGGATAGTAATTGTTTGGTGGATATGTTTTCCAGCATTAGTAATTCTATTGTTTGCACTACATTTTTATGCAGTGGGTACCTCTCACCGGAATATGCATTGTACGGGAAATACTCAGTAAAATCAGATGTATTTAGCTTTGGTATTTTAATGTTGGAAATTGTAAGTGGAAAAAGCAACAGAAAATCCTGTCATCCGGACTATAACCTTAATCTACTTGGCCATGTAAGATTTTATTTTATTTATCCTTCGTTTTATCAACCAGTAACAAATATCTATATATAAGCTTGTAAAATCTACAGGCATGGAATCTCTATAAAGAAGGCAGGTCAACAGAACTACTTGATGAATGTCTAAGTGATTCTTGTTCAACACATGAAGTGGTACGATCAATCGGTGTTGGTCTATTATGTGTCCAGCAATGTCCTGAAGATCGTCCAAATATGTCTTCTGCGGTTCTGATGTTAAACACTGAAGGTGTGTTGCCGTTGGCTAAACAGCCAGGTTTTTACATAGAAGGAAATGCACCTAGTAGTGGTGCATTTTCTTCTAGCCAATATGCAGAGAGTACAGTGACTGAGACCCCTATCACAATACTAACTGCCCGATAGAAGATATTGTTTTACTGTTCGTTACAGTCTTGCAGTTGTAATAATCTTTTCTTTTAAGTCTTTGAAGCAATGTGGTGAAAAAAATTTGTTCATGATTCTGCTTTTTTGGTGTATCAACTATGGAAGATCTTCTTCATGAAGAAGAGATAGTCCAAAGCACACGTGTGTTGGTGGAAGGTAACAACAGTGCGCGTAGGGTGGATAAATTTATATTTCTTATCAATTTACCAATTTCATTAGTAATTTCTACTAATTTATGCATGATTTAAAGAACTTGAGAGAGATTTATATAATGAATGTAAAGAGTAAGCTGTTGCTAAATGCTAGCTGAATCTATTCTGAAATTGAATTCAAAGCCTTAAAATTTAGACATATTTCAATACAATTCCTGCAGATTTTGCTTTCTAATTTCTTAAAGAAAAAAAGGGAGGATTTTAATACAATTCTGAGAAATGAATGACACTCACAATCGACAAGGATGGAGCCAAGTTGATGCAAGGGGTTCATCCGAACCCTTTCGCCAAAAAATTACACTATATATATAAAGGTCTACAATTAATTGTTTATGTATATATAATAGTTGTTGAATCGTCTTGACTTTGTGTGTTTACTTCTTTCATATTTTGAAACCCTTAGTGAAAATCCTGGCTTTGCCACTGACTATGGCCATGATATGCTTCTATCGAGCATTCAACAGCGTGATGGTAACTTCGTTTATAGAACTTGGTGTTTGTGTACTCCAAGATAATTGATCATGACCTTCAACTTTCCTTTCAGTGAAGAAACCGGGATGTTTAGGCAGTGGTAAAATGCCTTCATTGCTCAGCATCATAATCACAGTTGACATGCTTGGCCTGTCCTCTGGATTCTGTTGAACACATAACAATCCCACATGGACTGATCTTAGTACTTCTGATATATAGTATGAATTTACGAGATATGGATCTACTAGTTCCAACGTCCGTTCTTCATTATGAAGCATCCATGCCTGCATAAAACGATCCCTCCATCAACAAAGGATTTAACTTATACACACTAACAGTACAAAGACTTTATACTCTAGCATTGTAGTTTAACTTGTGATAGTATGTTAGTTAACAAGCTCTTATAATAGAGATTTACATGTAATTTACTGTCGGCACATAAAACTTAAATGCATTAACAAACACTTTTTCTGAGTCTTTTTACCGTTAGGAGTTACTGTACTTACATGTCCAAGAAGGTTGAAGTGGTGGTCTGGATGAACAAATCGTCGGTTCTTCTTTCCACTCACAATCTCTAGTACTAATACCCCAAAGCTAAAGACATCTGATTTCACTGAGAATATCCCCTCGACTGCATATTCCGGGGACATGTAACCACTGCAATAAAGAAACTACAGGATTATATAATGCACCATGTGTTCATGACTACATATATAATCAAATATTAAATCTTACTATGTTCCAACAACACGGCTTGTATTGTCTCCTGTCTCATCTCCTCTGAAACTTCTAGCCATCCCAAAATCGGATATTTTTGGATTCATTTCAATATCAAGTAAGACATTGCTAGCTTTCAAGTCTCTGTGGATGATTCTGAGCCTAGAATCTTGATGAAGATACATCAGTCCTCGAGCAATTCCATTGATAATATTGAAGCGCTTAGGCCAATCAAGTAATGCACTCCTTTCTTCATCTGTCAAATGTTTTCAACTTATTACTAAAGGTTTCTATAACAATGAAACCAACCTTCGTGAAATCACAATTGATTGCATTGAAAGAAATGGCCGTTCAGTAGATGTGAAAGACTAACCAAATATATATAATTCCAGGCTTTTGTTTGGCAAGTACTCATACACCAGCATCTTCTCTTCTCCTTGAATGCAGCATCCTAGAAGCTTTACAAGATTCCGATGCTGAAGTTTTGCGATGCACTTAACTTCATTCTTGAACTCGTGAAGTCCTTGCTCTGATGTTTCTGAAAGCCGCTTCACTGCTACTTCTTGTCCACCTTCTAATACACCCTGTAAAAGTAGCAGTCCCGTTAGAAATTTGATGGAGTGAATCGTCATTTTTTTCCTTACTAGTGCAATCAAGTTCTTGTTCAGGCAGCATCTACTTGCACATTTCATTCCACAGCTTATCTCATGGTTGGTAATCTTTTCCAGCTGATGTTCCTTTTCTTTGAATATGAAACCTTTATTTTATAAAACATTATCGGTCTTGAAACAAGGCTCTCAACTTAACACTCATTCCGCTCATCATACTAGCAAACACTGCTGTATGTACTGACTCCAAGAGTTAATATTCCTTTCAAGAAAAGCAAAGAAATTAAGTCTCGAGTATCATTACTTGGGGTCTGAGGAATGTTTGTACCTTGTAAACTTGTCCAAAGCCACCCTCTCCAATCTTGTTTGCAAATGAAAAGTTGTTGGTAGCATTGGTTAACGTTAATAAGTCAAAAAGTGGAAGCTCAAAATTTTCCTCGTGAATTTGATTACTGTTATCATTCTTGTTGCTGTGACCACCTAATCTCCCTGCAATTTGAACATACAAGTAGACCTTGCTCAAATAAGGAGCTTGAAATGAAATACTAGTGGTATACAGAACTAATGACCACTAGTTGCTTCTGGTTTTACGATAGACAGAATTGGTACTTCCACTTACCTGTTGTTGTAACCACCGGATCCTTTCTCCTTTTTCGTTTACAAAGAATCAGGCCTACACCTAAACCAAGCAGAATCAATGCAACCAATAGTGGCAAAGCTATTGCAAGTATGAAAGCTATCTTTCCTTTTGATCCAGCAGAACCTGCAACATTTCCCATCGAAATATTATCAATAGTTGTTTCTAGTAATGCTAGAAGTTTTTTCTCTTTTTATATTTGTTGTATTTATGTCGAGGAAAACAGGACGGTCCTTGAAGTCTTATTCCCATAATGTGGACTTGGATTACCTTTGTCCCTCATATGAGTTGAATTTCTGGCATTGAAGTACAATTGACATGGTTATGATTTATGAAATCGCATATTAATTATTAATTACCTATGTCTGAAGCAGACATCCTAATGTAGATATCCTGTCCTGATGCAGGTAGCTGTCTGATGTCAACCAGCTCCCAAATCCATAGCAAGCACCCCCTTCCTCCTTGCGTATATCCAGATTAGTATAACCCGTACACGAACAATTTCTCAAGCAAACTACCCTGCATTCATCTAGTGTCATTGTCTCATTGAACCAAGAATTTCGCGTATCAGGCAGTTTAACACCAGAATACTTAATAAATCCATCTCCTGTGCAATTCAGTGGGATCTTCCGGACACAACCACTAGACCAGTCAGACCTTTCCCAATTATCAGGATGTTTTGGCTCGAATTATCTAAACATTGACAAAAAGGATCACTCAAAATGTTGCAAGTCCCATATGCACCACATAATTTGTAGGTGTCACAGTCATCCACAACTGCAGAGTGGTAATTTACCCATCCCTGAACCTTTCCAATCCAAATGATACGCATAGCTTTCCCATAAGGCTCTAAAACAAATGTTGAAATAACGGATTTGTTCACCATCTCATACTTGTAGTAAATTTCCCTACTATTCATAACCATGCCAAAAGAAATGATAGAGTTGTTTACCAGATTTGGTGCACCACTCCACCTGATACCATTCCACGGCCCTGCTCTAAACGTCACATTAGCCCCTTTTCGCATAAGGTTTTGTGGATAACCCGTAGGATCACAATGATAAGTATAATCCCCCGGAGCAGGATCATCACTACTTCTCCAAGAAGTAAGATACCTTTCTAATCCAGTCACCAAGTCCGTCCCAAGTTTCATACCTTCCAACAACGTATCACTAGGATAATCAAAACTTTGCCAGAGGAAATTCTCTGGATTCGGATCATTAGCATCCCTCACCACAAAATTCCCTGTGTCCAACAACTGAGCAACAGGATTCTGTACAGATTTCGATGAGTTTGTGGACCAAACAGTTGCATTAGTATCATTCAGAAGTACAATCAGACCTGGCTGAATAACTTTCAACACCCCATACTTATTAGCAACAGGAGCTAGTCTATTGGCAACCCAAACAGGAGTAGTAGCAGAGGTTTTCTTGTACCATATTCCAACATAGTGATTTGTAGAAGTATCTCCAGGACTGAAGAATCCTAACTCGAACGTTCCATGAGACGAAACAATAGTATCACCATGTTTAATGAATTGAGTTGTAGTTATGGTATCTCCTTGACCACTAACATTTTGAAGAAACACAAAATACAAGAGAAGTAGAATAAATTGAAATATTGTTATATCCATGATAGTTATATTTACCTTTTGTTGCATTGCATTCTTCTTCAAAATTGTTAAAAAGAATTTAACATATTCCATCTCTTGTGGTATTCTTTTCAGTAAGATTGTCTCAGAGATTACCAAGACTTCATTTTTTGCTGGTCAATCCGTTTAGACAGCAAAATGGCGTGGCAGATTTGCTGCCAAAGAATGGAAATACTCTGTTTCAATTTGTTTGTTTGATTTTGATTTAAGGTGAAAAACAAACAACTAACTATATTTTAATTTTTTTAATTAACAATTATTTTGGGTAAGTACCACAAGTAAAATGGAACAGAGGGAGTATAAGACTAAGAAAGAACTTACTCTTTTCGTCTCAATTTATGTGATAATGTTTGATTAGATACTGAATTTCAAAAATAAAGAAAAGTTTTTGAAATTTAATCTAGAATAAATTTGAGATATTTGGGTCCTAACATTTTAGTAAACGTCAACTTCTAACCTTGCCATGTCTCATTTGACAATTCATTTTCACCAAATGACAGACTGCACAATAGACGTGAATAAAGGTTTAACGAAGAAATGAGTTTAGCAACCATTTTTATTTTATTTTTATGAAAATATTATGCAACACATTTTTTTAGTTTGGTCTTAATTCCTCGAGAGAATTGATTTTGTTAGTCACTTACAATAAATTTAGTAATAAAGTATTTCAAATATTTTAAAACTATTCCAGATACATTTTTATTTCCAAGCCTAATTTTGGGGCCACATCTACCCTTACTATTAACGGTTCTCCACACAACCTGATTTTAATGCAATATAATTGATGACATGGCTTGCTAACATTGAAAAAAATACATAATACATGTCTTTTAATTTGGCTATAGCTTGCATTTATGTTCTTTAACTTTGGGTGTGCTCAAGTAGATGTATAACATTGAACAAATAAATACACACATCATGTGGCATAGTACACATATGACGCCACATTATTGAGATAAACATGTGGTTATCTATTTGTTAGTATCTTAAGTTTAAATTTTGAATTAGTTTGAATAAGTCAACTAATCTTTTAGATAAGATTAAGTTGTTAGATTAGTTGCTTAAAGCTAGTAGAGTTGGTTCCTTCAATTTAGTCAAGTTAGTTGCATTTACTTGTATTTAAGCAGATGTAAGCAATGAATAAAATCATTCAAGTTTGCTTTAATTCTCAAACTCTTCATGGTATCAGAGCATCTCTAAAACTCTCACGAGTCCGATCCAATTTTTTTTTCTCTCTCTCTCTTTGCGTCCAAACATGGTTATTCCTGCTACCACCATTGATAATGCTGCTGCAGTTCCGACTACCACTCATGTGGTACAGTTCAATCCAGCTGCCCAATTACCTATCAAACTGCAAGGCAACCTCAACTTTGCCACTTGGAAGGCGCAACTAGTGATGCTACTCAATGGACACAAGCTCCTTGGGCACCTCACTGGTACCAAATCTGCTCCGCCGACCACTATCACACAAACTGATAGTACCATCTCCAATCCTGAATATGAGTTGTGGTTTTGCCAAGATCAACTAATTCAACAGGCAATGATGGCATCTGTTGACCCCACCATTGCTCCCACTGTTGCAACTGCCTCTTCGGCAAAAATAGCTTGGGATCTCCTTCATACAGCTTATGCCAATAGAAGTCACACTCGCATCTTTAGCTTACGAGATCAGTTGCAAAACATGAAAAAGACTTCCAAAACAGTTGCTACTTACCTACAGGAGATCAGATCAGTTGCTGATGCTCTCAAAGTAGCGGGCTCTCCAGTGGCTGATGATGAACTAGCAGTCAAGATCTTGAGTGGCCTAGGTCATGAGTACCGTGAAATCACTGTCGCTATAAGGGCGCGCGACACAGCCCTAAGCTTTGAGGAGCTATTCCAGAAACTCACTGACCATGAACTCTTTCTCAAACATCAAGATATTGACAGGTCGTCCTCCATCATCACGGCTGCAGTTGCACAAAGGACCAACTTTCAGCCCCAACATCAGAGAACAGAGCCCCTCTAAAACTCTCACGAGTCCGATCCAGTTTTTTTCTCTCTCTCTCTCTTTGCGTCCAAACATGGTTGTTCCTGCTACCACCATTGATAATGCTGCTGCAGTTCCGACTACCACTCATGTGGTACAGTTCAATCCAGCTGCCCAATTACCTATCAAACTGCAAGGCAACCTCAACTTTGCCACTTGGAAGGCGCAACTAGTGATGCTACTCAATGGACACAAGCTCCTTGGGCACCTCACTGGTACCAAATCTGCTCCGCCGACCACTATCACACAAACTGATAGTACCATCTCTAATCCTAAATATGAGTTGTGGTTTTGCCAAGATCAACTAATTCAACAGGCAATGATGGCATCTATTGACCCCACCATTGCTCCCACTGTTGCAATTGCCTCTTCGGCAAAAATAGCTTGGGATCTCCTTCATACAGCTTATGCCAATAGAAGTCACACTCGCATCTTTAGCTTACGAGATCAGTTGCAAAACATGAAAAAGACTTCCAAAACAGTTGCTACTTACCTACAGGAGATCAGATCAGTTGCTGATGCTCTCAAAGTAGCGGGCTCTCCAGTGGCTGATGATGAACTAGCAGTCAAGATCTTGAGTGGCCTAGGTCATGAGTACCGTGAAATCACTGTCGCTATAAGGGCGCGCGACACAGCCCTAAGCTTTGAGGAGCTATTCCAGAAACTCACTGACCATGAACTCTTTCTCAAACATCAAGATATTGACAGGTCGTCCTCCATCATCACGGCTGCAGTTGCACAAAGGACCAACTTTCAGCCCCAACATCAGAGAAATAATCGTCGCTTCCCAAATCAATCTTCAAGACCACAAGTTCCACGACAGGTGTTATACCCCATTTTAATCGGGTCAAAATAGTGTACAACATTTTGGTGATTTCCAAATTAATAACTAACTTAAGAAGTCGCCACCTAATTATTACGGTGAATTAGGACACCTAAATTGATTAGAGTTATTTTCTAAAGTTAACTTCATTTTAAGGTCTACTAAACTTAAGATTCTAGGTAAGGGTTCAACTAATCTAAAGGGAAGGAGTTAGGCATCCTTTAAGATCCATTAAAAATGGTTAACCGGTCGAACTTGATTAATTAATTAGGCTAAGGTGAAGAGTTAAAATGCTAAGCATGAAGATGTAAAAAATGTATAAATGCTAAATCTCAAGTAACTTAAAAATTAATGCTCGGAAAAACATTTCTTATGAAAAATCGTCTTGTTGAAAACGTGTGGAAGTAAAATAGTTTTGTAAAAAGTTAAATTAGTTTATTGAATAATGATGACTTGAATCCATTTGAATTTAATAAGAAATAGGAATTTTATCAAAAAATGAAGTATTAGAAGTAGTAAAAGAAGATCTAGTAAACTTAACTAAATTTAGAGGGAAAAGTTTAAGCTTCGAATAAATTCAAGAACTTACAAGTTAAGGAATAAATTTTATAATAAAATCTGTAAATGTAAACCCAAAAAAGGAGTTGGAGCAGAAAACGTTATAGTGGTTATTTTGACAAAAGTATTTGAAACCAAAATTAGTAACTGCAAGAAAATTTCAATAAGGAATATTTCTAACTTAACAAAGTTGGCTTCTTAAGCCTTTTTGTTTTTTTTAAAGAAATAACGGCTCTCTTTTATGTGATAAAAGCAAGTTTTCATGCTACTGTATGAGGGTCAAAGGGAATTCCAATTAAAGCCTAGCTATTAGTCATTACATATAAGGGAACACATAACACATAGACAAATATAAAATGTTGATCACATCAATACAATCAAATAAAACAAGCTAAAATAAATGAGGAAATTAGTAGTTATGTGCGACTTTAACATAAGGAAATGATCTCCTCCGTTACTAGAGGTCTGAACAGTATGAAGCAGGAAAGAATAAGGACGTGCCGACTCCATGTATAAGATATGCAAGCTCCATGCAATAATGGTATCGTTGAGTCCCATAGGGGACTCTTCGGCTTCGATGTGCGTGCAAAACAGAGAAAAGAGCAAGGAGGGAAAGTTAGAAAAAAATGATTCTCAAATAGTTAATAAAAGTACAAAAACAGAGCAAGTTATACGGAACTCGATTTATAAAACAAAAGACTAACATGTACAGAAGTATGGCATTATTCTTGTGTATCAAAGTACAAGACATAGTGCATGATTAGAAAAGCCACTTCAATAGAGGGATCTTAAGTAATACATTTTAACAGACATAATTTATACATATGTGTACATTAATGAATGTTAAGTGAAATTTAATAAGACATGACTTTTAGTAAAAGTGGAAATCTTTTGTTAGTTGAGAGAGTTTTCAGATAGTAGCACTGAACTAAATATAAATCTACTCCTAATGTATGCATTTTCTTATACTAAACTTAACCACCCAGTGATAGGTTGAGATTTCTAGGCTGATATGCAAGCATATGGGAATATACAGTAAACAGTTCAAATTGAAATGAATCAAATTTACAGAGTGATATATCCATTATGCATGACTTATAACAACAAAACAATCGTCGATGTCGAATAAATAAGAATAAGTTTAGATTTTCACCTTTTGTGGAGCAGTGAACTTGGTCGTTGATCAAAGATCTAATCTCGTTCCTCCGACAAAATTAAGCAAAAATAGAGAATAGAATAGAAAATATTTCGTGAGATGATATTGAAATATAAGAGAGGAGCGTTCTTGAGAATGCTTAAACTTGTTCTTGATTTCTTTTGTAAGCAGAAAACTCCTCTTTTCAAAGCCAAAAAAAACGCCCTCTTTAAAGGCTAACAGAGGCAAGTATTTATAGAATAGGCTTTAAGATTTCGGTTTTCATTTGGGCGGGATTTCATCTTTGATTTTTCACCATTAGAATTGTTCTGTCCATTGCTGTCCAAAATAACTGGCAAGTTCACCAACTTAACGTGAACAATGCTTTTTTACACGGTAACTTACAAGAGGAGGTATTCATGGCTCAGCCAAAAGGCTATGTCAATTCTGATTTTCCAGATCATGTATGCAGCCTTAAAAAGGCCATTTATGGCCTAAAACAAGCCCCGCGCGCCTGGTATGAGGCCCTCACGGCTTATTTGAATACTATTGGATTTGTTAAGTCCGAATCAGATGCCTCACTGTTCATTTTTAAATCCCTGGCTGTTACTGTTTACATTTTAGTATATGTGGATGATATTCTCATTACTGGGAACCATCCAAACTTAGTTGCGCAGGTCATCAACTCTTTGGCTAGCAGGTTCTCACTAAAGAATCTTGGTGAACTTAATTATTTCTTGGGAATAGACGTTAAGCGTGTTCCAAATGGGATCATCCTATCTCAATCTCAATATATTCTTGAGATTCTATCTGATGTGGATATGACAGATTGCAAAGGGGTTGCCACACCGATGTGCTCCAGCTCGCCACCTAAAGCAGATGATGGTTCACCCCCTGCCGATGCAACCCTTTATCGACGCACTCTGGGTAAGCTGCAATACTTATCATTCACGCGTCCTGACATCTCATTTGCAGTAAACAAATTATCCCAATTTATGCATTCTCCAAGTCTGGAACATTGGAAGGCTGTAAAAAGGGTTCTGCGCTACCTCAAGTCAACAACAACATCGTGCTTGGAAATTCGTCATCATGCTGATAGGAATTTGTATATGTATGCTGATGCTGACTGGGCAGGTGATCCCAGTGACAGAATCTCAACATCGGGTCATATGCTCTTCTTGGGACCAAATCCCATATCTTGGTCCTCCAGGAAACAACAATCAGTTGCTCGATCATCCACAGAAGCTGAATACAAATCGGTCGCCAATGCACTCGCGGAGCTTACATGGGTCCAAAACCTCTTGGATGAACTGAGGTATCATATATCAAACACGCCAAGTATTTTCTGTGACAACATTGGCGTATCATATCTTAGCAAGAATCCAGTTTTTCACACTAAGATGAAACACATTGCGGTAGACTTTCATTATCTTCGCAACAGTGTGAACTCCGGCAAAGTGACTGTCAAATATCTTCCTTCTATAGATCAAGTAGCAGACACTCTAACCAAGCCGCTGCCCAAACCTGCCTTTCTTCGATGTCTAACCAAGTTAGGTGTTGTTGCACCACACCTAACTTGAGGGGGGTGTATTGAGATAAACATGTGGTTATCTATTTGTTAGTATCTTAAGTTTAAATTTTGAATTAGTTTGAATAAGTCAACTAATCTTTTAGATAAGATTAAGTTGTTAGATTAGTTGCTTAAAGCTAGTAGAGTTGGTTCCTTCAATTTAGTCAAGTTAGTTGCATTTACTTGTATTTAAGCAGATGTAAGCAATGAATAAAATCATTCAAGTTTGCTTTGATTCTCAATCTCTTTACACATAAGATGTCGTATAGGGCATGAATTGCCATGTAGAACTCCAAGAAGGACGCCTTGTGTATACTTATTCAATTATATACAAATTTAAGTATCTACTTGTGCACATCCAAAATTGGATGACATATATGTCATATGAGACAAGTTAAATGACACATTTATATGTTATGCCAAAAAAAAACCATTGTAGAGAGTAGAGGTAGAGTATTAATTATGTCGTGAGCACTCAATAGCTTTTATTTAGATATTGATAACGAAATTTGTGAAAAATCTTTAAAACTCGAGGCGTGTCAAAGATACTGTCCTACGTAAACAGAGGGCCACAGATACACAGGCCAAAGAAGAAATCGTTCAAGACGGGATAGAGCACGCTTGACTTATTCTAAAGAAAGAATCTTGTTTTTAACCATGCTACTATTAATTAAGCTTAGTAAAACACAATCAAATAATTCACAAACATGAATATTACTTACATATTCATGTTCATGTTCTTGTCTTCAATGCACCAATATTTTGGTGCTTTAGATACAATAACTACGACACATTTTCTCAAAGATGGCGATGACAATTTTATTGTTTCACGTGGTGGAACGTTAGAAATGGGATTTTTCAGTCCAGGTAAATCCAAAAATCGCTACGTGGGTATGTGGTACAAGAACATATCTGTTAGGACCGTAGTGTGGGTTGCCAATAGAGAAGATCCTTTGAGGAGTAAAAATGGTATATTGAAGGTCATTGAGCCAGGAATTCTTGTCCTTCTCAATGACACTAATAATGTTGTATGGTCAACTAATACATCGAGATCTGTGCAGAATCCGATTGCACAGTTGTTGGATTCCGGGAATCTTGTTGTGAAACAATCTGGTCATGGTGTTAGTGATGGAAATTTCATGTGGCAGAGTTTTGATCACCCAACTAATACACTATTACCAGGCATGAAGCTCGGTTGGAACTTTGTAACAGGACGAGAGGTGTATTTATCGTCTTGGAAGAATGAAGATGATCCAGCTCATGGTGATTATTCATATCACTGTGATCCTTCAGGACATCCACAGAATATCCTGAAGAAGGGATCAAATGTGATATATCGCTCTGGAGTGTGGAACGGTCTTCGTTTTGGTGGGGCAAGAAACTCAAGAGACAGTACTTTCTATAGATATGGAATATTCTCAAGTAAGACAAAGGTGTACTTTGGATATAACCTCACATCTTCAGTTATCGCGACATTCATACTAAACCAAAATGGTGTAGCACAACTTTTGACTTGGGGTGATGGAGAACAGGGTTGGGTTCCTTACCTCGTAATACCTGGAGATAATTGTGATACGTATAAGTTATGTGGCTCATATGGTAGCTGCAAAAACAATGATTTTCCAGTACTTTGTGGATGTTTGGACAAATTTGTGCCAAACAATAGCAAAGATTGGAACAAGGCAGACTGGTCAGGTGGTTGTGTTCGGAGAACTGAACTAAATTGCCTTCAAGGAGACGTATTTTTGAAGTATTCGCAAATTAAACTTCCAGATACACGGAATTGCTGGTCTAATGTGACTATGACACTAGAAGAATGCAAGAACATCTGCTCTAAAAATTGCTCTTGTATGGCTTACTCAAATGCTGACATACGCGATGGAGGAAGTGGATGCTTATTGTGGTTCAAGGATCTGCTTGACATTCGGCAGGTACCCAAAGGAGGACTTGATATCTACATTAAAGTAGCTGCTTCTGAATCAGGTTTGCTTGTTGCTCTTTAGTGTTTGCAGAACCTATATAACATAGTCAATAGCATAATCAACTTCCCACAGATATATCGATAGTGAAACTTACTGCTACATTTATCTTTGTTGGAAGGGATACTTGCAGATCATAAGCTGGAGAAATCCAATGGAAAGTTAGGAAAATCACTTGCATGTATTCTGGCATCATCAGTTGGTGTAATTTTTGTAATCCTTAGCCTGTTGATCCACCATAGAATAAGGAAAAAGGATTTAGAGCTCAAAAAGAAAGGTAAGCTGGATAAGTCCCTTTTTGTCCTGACATTAATCAACTTCCATATCTAGTATTCACAATTTAAATGAATTCACTTTATTTGCTGTTGACAGGAAAGTTGGAATAAAGTGGCAACTATAAGATGGATTTTAACCGTGGCAATTGCGCTGAAGAATTTGAAATACCATTGTTTGATTTATCAACCATAGCAAAGTGTCACGGACTTAGAGTCTTACTAAAGCTCCGTGCGGCACTTGACAACTTACTCACGAATCTTTCACGATCTTATAAGCTCAAGTAAGCCCTTTATACTAAGATCGCTAAGGAAATGAAAAGGAAGACTTAGAGAATTTTGGAAGAAGGCTTATATTGCTTGGAAGAATGCTTTACAAGTTGCTTGAATGCTTGGATGGTTGGATGCCTTGCAAATGAATGGCACCCTCTATTTATACTAAAATCCTAAGGACTAAAGTGCAAATAAAAATTACTTACAAGTCCCTAAGATATTTACACAAAAGCCCCTCTTCTAGAATTCTCTACACACTCTAGAGAATTCTAAGGCTTTCTTTGGAAACTATCTAAATTATTCTAGAGAATTCTAAGGAATTTTCTAGCCTTCTTGAATAATCTAGAGGGTTCTAGAGTATTCCGGAAACCTCTCCACAACTCTAGTCCCTTCCGCCCCTATCCGGACGCAAAATTTCACTGTGATGTGGCGGGACGTGACACTAAGGCTACCAATAACTTTTCAATAGACAGAAAGATTGGAGAAGGGGGCTTTGGACCTGTTTACAAGGTATCAACACTTTATGCCTGTTTAAGAAATACACCGATTTATTCCCAAAAGATAATCATGCATAGTATAGATGAAAGACAAAAAACTTTCCGGTCCTTCAGAGTAAAGCTTCATCTTTAGATTTGTGTACTTTCTCATCAAGATAGGTAAAGAAAATGTTAACATGTGGAGATTGTGATGTTTAGGGCATACTTGAAGGACAGGGAATAGCTGTCAAGCGGTTGTCTAGAACTTCCACACAAGGAGAAAATGAGTTCAAGAACGAAGTTATATATATTGCTAAACTTCAGCATAGGAATTTGGTGAAGATTCTTGGCTGCTGCATTGAAGATGAAGAAAAAATGTTGATCTATGAGTACTTGCATAACGGGAGTCTTGATTCATTCATAATTGGTACTACTCTCCATCCAATAATGTGCAAATTATATACTAATTGTGTCACGGTGAACTGATGTCTATAGTAGTACTTCAGTAATCTTATTCCAAATAGTCTGTAAATGAGCTAACAAAATTTTGGCAGATGACACACAAAGCAAGGTACTAGACTGGCCTAAGCGATTTCACATTATCAACATTATAGCTCGGGGAGTTATGTATCTGCATCAAGATTCACAATTGAGAATAATTCACAGAGACCTGAAAGCTAACAACATTCTGCTAGACAAGGACATGAACCCAAAGATATCAGACTTCGGCTTGGCAAAAATATGTGAAGAGGATGACACTGGAGCCCAGACAAACCGAGTTATTGGAACATAGTAAGAACTAAGAACCTCCTATACTTGGTAGCATTTTTCCTACCTAAGAAGAATCTTGAGATAGTTAAGTTATGTTTTCCAGCATTAGCAACTCAAATTCTATTTTTGTGTACGTTTTATTTGCAGCGGGTACCTCTCACCAGAATATGCATTGCATGGGCTATACTCAGTAAAATCGGATGTATTTAGTTTTGGTATCTTAGTACTTGAAATTGTGAGTGGGAAAAGCAATAGACGATTCTCTCATCCAGATCATTACCTTAACCTACTCGGACATGTAACAATTTTCATTTTTTGTACTATATCTATCCGAACATATTTATCTACTAGTAACAAATATGTTACAAAACTAAGCTAGCTTGCCATACTAATAAGCTTGTAAAATGTACAGGCATGGAAAATCTATAAAGAAGGTAGGTCGATGGAACTACTTGATGAACGCCTAAGTGATTCTTGTTCAAGATCTGAGGTGGTACGATCAATCTGTGTTGGTCTATTATGTGTCCAACAATGTCCTGAAGATCGTCCAAGTATGTCATCTGTTGTTGTGATGCTAAACAATGAAGGTGTATTGCCACAGGCTAAACAGCCAGGTTTTTACATAGAAAGAAATTCGAATGAAGAGGAATTCTCTTCAAACCAAAATGCAAATGTTACAGTGAGTGACACCCCAATCACAATATTAGATCCCAGGTAGTGAACAATTAGTTCACTTGTCTGCAACACACTTTGTAGCAGTACCTGTGGCCAGTGGCAGAGCTAGGATTTTTAATAAGGGGGTTCAAAATCTGAAGAAGTAAACATACGAACTAATTGAACGGGGTTCGACATCTATTGTATATACATAAAAAATAATTTTAACCATATATGAATAGTAATTTTTTCTGCCGAAGAGGGTTCGGATGAACCCCTCACATACTGCTGGCTCCGCCCCTGCATGTGGCTAAGCTTGCAACGTGCTGCCATCGGTCATTGGATGTTTACACCAAATTCAACTAATTCAATACATATCAAGTATTTGTTGGCTTGTTATATTAATGAACCTTATCTATTGATTTGATTTGATGTAAATATTAAATACATATAAATATTTTTTGTGGACCTTAGATACCATGTTTGGCCATTTGAGGTCAATTTATAATAATGGACCATGCAACTTGTCATAAAAGACACGAAAAGCATTTAATACTTTAAGGCTTTTGACTTATTATGCTCTCTCCGTCCAATAATAGTTGTCCACTATATTAAAAATAATTATCTAACAATATTTGTTCAATTTAGAAAATCAAGATTAATTTATCTTTTGTGTCTATTTTACTCTTGTTATTAAATATTATTTATCATCTAATATATTTTTCAAAGCATTAAATTTAATAAAGTCAAAAAATAATATTGTATTGTTTCTAAGGGGTGTGCCAGTCAATAGTGGACACCTATTATCGGATAAATGGAGTAATAGATTCTACGACACTTGTTTGTCTTGCTTTAACTTTATCATGCAAATTTTTATTTAAAGATATTATCTTTTTTCCTTCCTAACCAAGACATAATTTAGGTATAATACATAAATGTACCCTTAAATTTGGCCTCAACCAGCATCTATGTCCTCAAACTTTGAGTGTGCATAAATAGACACTTAAACTTGTATAAAGTTGAACAAGTAAACACGTGTCCTAAATTACGAAGGACGCAAATTGGCGCATAGAATGTCAGGTAGGATGTATGAGTCTACTTATACAAGTTTAAGAGTCTATTTGTACACCACCATTTTGGAGGTCATAAAAACACTGTATTATGCCATAATTTATGTAGTTCTTGTTCCCTTGTCGATTTCTTATAGAATATAGAATGTTAATGAGATTGCAGTTTTTTGTGATAAATTTCTAAATCAAATACTCCTTTTGTCCCAATTTATGTGACACATTTCGCTTTTCGAGAGTCAAACAGTTTAAGTTTGACCGAGAATTTGCTCATGGAATCTTCAAATTTTTTAAAACGAAATTTATATATTTGTAAACTACATAAAAAGTACTATAAGTCTCAATAATTGATAATTCAAAATAATTAAAAGATAAATGAAAAATTACGATCAAAGATAGACTTGTTTGAATTTCAAAATTCGAAATGTGTCACATATATTGGGACAGATGGAGTATCAAACATTAAAGGGATGAAAGTGACACAACTTCAGGAGAAACATAATTATTTTGAAAACTTTCAACAAGAAAACAATTCAATTCTGCAGGCAGCCAACATAATGAGTACCAACAGCTTTAGTTTTTTAATTACCCTTCTAGTTCTGCCAAAATATAGAGAGTGAATCCCCTTTATTTTAGGGCAGGGTACAGAAAATACATCCATTTTTAATAATTAATCATTAATTACTCAACTACCAAAGACCATGTCAATTTTCACTGCAAATGAATGATGCAGATGAGACAAATTGCTTCTTTATACAGGAGGGCAAGTGGTGCATGATCTAAAACTCGGTAAATAATGAATCTGCCTTTCTATCTTTTTCCACTTTATCAACCAGACACGTGACGTGTACCTAACTCCTACGTCATGTATTGCCCTTTTTTACCATACATATCTATTGTAGTCATCCACTCATAACTGTAAGTAAAGTAATGAATGACTCGAGTAGGATGCCTTTATCAAATGAAAGTAATTGTGTGTGACATCACTAATATATCCTCAAACAAATGAATTAATCCAAAAAATGCACACTTTTTTGGATTCTTCTTATGTTTAATTTTGGAGCCTACAATTGCCAATTAGTTGGAGCCCGCCACAGTCCTGTAGCATAGGTAGCCCCATCTAGTCAATTGAATAAGATTGAAGTATTCAAAATCTGTTTCTAATACAAAATTCAAAGTTTCTGAGGTTAAAAGAGACGAAAACGACAAGTCAAATATTTGTTGTTTAGAGAGAAATGTCATCTTATAACAGAAATGTTCTCTTTTGGTTTGATTTTTCACATTTTCCCAAATATTCCAAAAGGACTAAACAATTTCCATGAAACGCTTTAGCTTTTTCTATTTCTGTTCCTCTAATATAGTGTCATTTCTATTCATATTTTCCACTGCTTTAGACACTATATCGAACGATAGCCCCATCAAAGATGGACATACCATAGTTTCAGCTGGTGGAAACTTTGAGCTTGGATTTTTCAGCCCTGGAAATTCCAAGAATCGGTATATCGGTATATGGTACAACAATTTACCTAAAGGCAGAGAAGTAGTGTGGGTTGCCAATAGAGTGAACCCACTGAATGAAACTTCTGGCATATTAACAGTCAGTAGCAAAGGGATTGTACTACTCAATGGAAACCAAGATGTGATTTGGTCATCAAATTCATCGAAAAGTTTGATAAAACCAGTGGCTCAACTTTTGGACGCTGGAAATCTTGTCTTAAAAGATGACAGTTTGGTAAATCAAAAAGACTATGCTTGGCAGAGTTTTGATTATCCAGACAGTACTTTGTTACCTGGCATGAAATTAGGCCTTAACTTGGTCACGGGCAAGTATTGGACTATGTCGTCGTGGAAGAGCAGTGATGATCCTTCTCCAGGAGAATATTTGGATCGCCTCGACACCAGTGGTTATCCTCAATTCTTTGTGTGGGAAGGTCCTGCAATAAAGTTTAGCTCAGGAATATGGAATGGACATTTATTTGTTGGAGGGCCAAATTTGAAACCAAATCCTTATTATACATTTGAGTTTGTGAACAATGACAAGGAGATCTACTATAAATATGAGCTTATCAATACTTCTATTCCTACCAGGTTGGTCTTGAATCCAGCAGGCCTGCTTCAACGACTCTTATGGATCGAACGGAACCAGAACTGGTTCCTTTACTCCACTGGACAGATGGATAATTGTGACCGTTATGCCTTGTGTGGTCAATTTGCGCAGTGCAACATCAATGACTCACCTCCATGTGATTGTTTGAGAGGATTTCAGCCTAAAAATCAACAAGGATGGGATGCAGCAGATTGGTCTAGTGGGTGTGTACGAAGAACTCCGTTGACATGTGGGACAAGTGACAGGTTTCTGAAGTATTCTAGTGTGAAATTGCCAGATACACGCCATTCTTGGTTTGACAAAAGCATTGGCCTCGAGGAATGCCAAAGGCTGTGTCTGAAAAACTGTTCGTGTACAGCATATTCCAATCTTGATGTTAAAAATGGCGGGAGTGGATGCTTACTTTGGTTTAATGAACTCGTTGATATCAGAGAATATGCTGAACTTGATCAAGATCTCTATGTAAGGATGGCTGCATCAGAATTAGGCAAGTCTCCTTATGCTAAGATGAATCATACCACAGGGAATCTTAGTAACTCAATTGATTGATTGACTATTTGAACTTCCACCTTGTTAACGAGGGTTGGGTTCCCAACCTCGTAATCCCCTTTCCCATTTCCCATTTAGCCTTCACCTACCCCCAACCCCATTTCAAAAATAAGAATCATACCGGAAGGTTTTCACAAGTAATAATGAATTTTCACAGGTTCAGGCTATATGGGAAACACAAGAACATCAGTCATTGCAATTATATTAACAGTTTCAGCAATCATCCTTGTTGGTTTTCTATTTTGGTTTGCTATGCAGAGAAAGAAAGGGGAAAGAGGTTAGAAAATTTGTCCGTCGCGTTGAAAGTATAGTTATTTCATTCACCTCAATCTCTTTACAAAATAAAGTTCAATTTTACAGGAGTAGGAGAAGGAGAAGGAAAGGAAGATATGGAATCACCTTTGTTTGATGTGATGACTGTTTCTGCTGCAACTAATAATTTCTCATCTGCTAATATCATTGGAGAGGGTGGTTTTGGATCTGTTTATCGGGTAACTAGAATTATATTCTCTGTGTATCTTAGTCAAATATATGAATGATTCTCTTGTGACTTAGACTTCGCGTGGATTATGTGACAGGGAAAACTATCAACAGGACCAGAAATAGCAGTAAAGAAGCTCTCTAAACATTCCGGACAAGGTTTTGAAGAGTTGAAGAATGAAGTTGTTCTGATTTCCAAACTTCAGCATAGAAATCTAGTTAGGCTTCTAGGCTGTTGTCTTGAAGGGGAAGAAAGGATGCTAATTTATGAATATATGCCAAACAATAGCTTGGACTTCTTCATCTTTGGTTCGATTCTCTTGACGCATTTCATCAAAAGATTCATCTTATCATATCAGCATTGTTCTGCTAATGCAAAATGAACTGATGTTTCTGCAGATGAATGCAGGAAGAAACAACTTCCCTGGGAAAATCGTTTTCGTATTGCAATGGGAATATCAAGGGGCATTCTTTATCTTCACCAGGACTCCAGATTAAGGATCATACACAGAGATCTAAAGACCAGCAACATTTTACTGGACAGTGAATTGAATCCCAAAATTTCTGACTTTGGACTGGCTAGGATTATTGGTGGTGACCAAAACGAAGCAAGAACAAAGCGAGTAATAGGGACATAGTAAGTTCAATTAGATAACTCATTGATGCTTTCATCTTTTCCTCTGTTAGAGTTCCACATTGGTTGGGGAATTGACTGATTTATATGGACTTGGGCAATTCTCCCTCATAAACTAGATTTGAGTTGAGTTAGACTCAAGTGTCATATCCTTCCATGGTATCAGAGCCAGGTAAATCCCGATTGGGGCTCCTGGTCCATGTTGGTGGTTTGGTTATATGAAATTGGACAATCTTTCCCCTTATGAGCTAGCTTTTGGGGTTGAGTTAGGCATGTGTCAAATCTTTACAACTTCCATAAAATCATTTAACCCATATTAAACATTATATATGTCTTTGTGCAGTGGCTATATGTCTCCAGAATACGCAGTTGATGGGAAATTTTCAGTGAAATCAGATGTCTTCAGTCTTGGTGTTCTTCTACTAGAAATAGTCAGCGGAAGAAAGAACAGAACATTTCATCATCCAGATCACCATCATAGTCTTATAGGACATGTAAGCAAGTTACAAATCCAGACATTTGCTTTTGTCATTTCATACTACATTTGTATTTCCTACATGTCATTGAAAACTATACTTGATTTTGCTATAGGCTTGGTTATTATGGAACGAAGGAAAGGCTTTGGAACTAATCGATGATTGTTTAAAAGAATCGTTTGTGGAATCCCAAGTACTAAGATGTGTTCATGTGGCACTGTTATGTGTTCAACGACTAACAGATGAACGACCAACAATGTCATCAGTGGTTTTCATGTTGAGCCATGAAGAAGTGGCATTACCTCAACCAAAGGAGCCTGGTTTCTTCATAGAGAGAAGTATAGCTGAAACAGATCATTCAAATGAGAAAAGATGCATCAGTGACAATGTTTTGACATTAACAATTCTTCAACCAAGATAGCAATGGCGGAACCAGAAATTCAAGAACCTTCTATTGTATAAAGGTGATTCAACAACTAATGTATATACAATACAGAAAATCTGTTCATCCCTATATGTACAGTAAAATATTTTGACGAAGGGGCTTCAGTTGAAACCCCTCTAGACCATGCAGCTCCGCCCCTGATTGTTATTGGACGAGCATTTACTAACATGCTTACATAGAACAATTGCGTATATCTTTCTGATATTTGATTAAGACTCACGAGCCATCGGGACCATTGTGTCAAGTTGTGCAAATTGTCAGAACATGATGGAAATGGACATGAAAGTTGTTACACAGTATAATGACTTATAGTAGATCTGAATGGCTAAATGATAGCCACTGACTTTGTTGAGCAATTATTTTTCCTCATGACTACAAATCAATATCATGTCCTGGGGGAGTGTTTCTTTGCAATCACATTCATCATATCTTTTTCCACATCTCTATCACCAAACTCGAGTTTTGTGCAACTTTTTCCTGGTTTTTCTACCCAGTGTTCAGTACCAGCTTTGGGGGCTTTTTTTGAAAAATGCTAAACAGGGTAGAGCAAGGTGGGTCGATATCTTAGCAGGTCAAGGCTTGCCTCACCTTAACCCGCCCTATTGACATCCCTACCTACTTCAAGGTAAGCCAGCTTCAACAAGACGCCCATAAATCCCAGAATGCCTACCTTCCTAGTTCCTGGAACTATGTAAATCTTTGCATTTGATTCTCATTTGAACAGCATACAGATTTATATTCAGAGGTAGTTACAATAAGTAGAACAAGGAAATGTTCTCGAAAACACTCACAAAATAAATAATTCAAAAAAATGAAGTCATAGCCAACAGAAAAAAAGGCCGTTCAATCAAGCCAAAAAACAAATCCCTTGATGGTTTATACTCCTAAGGCATAAAGCAGTGCAATGGAAGCTCCTACAGTGATTGTCCAGAGATATATGGTTTGAGACAAAGAATTAGCACCACTGCATTGGTCATTAGAACCACTGAAGCATCCAGGTCTACTCACCTTAGGTTCTACTCCCCCTGTGGAAAAGCTACTCTTTGGTTTGCCATTGCTGAAGAGTACACACCAGAAATAGGGGCCACCACCACCGGAGCCACTCACAGCAGCACCAACCTCAGTGTGATTCTTGCTATAGAGAATATCCAAACTCTTGGTATTTCTTATAAGAATATCATTGAATGCTTCAGAAGGTTCGGCATACTTGGATTGACATGCGAGAAATCTTCCAGTTATTTGAGCAAGCGATGACGCCTGCACACCACAGTTAGGGGCAAATTCTTGGGCGAATTCAGATTCAGCAGGTTTCTTTCCATCTGGCCCTCCAACTACTTTACAATCACCTCCATATGCTTTTATATATTGCAGAGCCAAGCATGCCAAGCCAGGGTTACTGTATAAGGAGGATAATTTATTCGCAGTTCTATTACTATTAAGGGCAGATACCAGCTCATCAGCAGGATTATCAGTTACCTTGGCTGCAGTTTATCAAGCCAATATATGTGTTAGAGGTTGATCATAAAGGCAATAATAGTGAATCAAGATCGAGAAGCTATCTGCTTGAAGGAATACACATTGGGAATGACAAGCGTAAATTACATCTAAACCCAAGAGGCTTGAGCACATGTCAGTATGCTTTCGGTAATTGGAAGTACACGCAATTATCTAAGACTGACTAAAGGAAGAAGAGCCAGAGAAGGAGAGTAAACATCATTTCGGCTGTGACTATAATTCTAGCACACTCATGGAAAGATTATCAACAACCACCCTATTATCAAGAGATCTCTAACAAGAAAGATACAAAATTAGGGCTCCAACATAGTATTTGAAGGCATAAACTAAAGCATCTTGAGCACTGTCCTTCCATTAGTGGGCTAGAGTCCCACATTGGTTGGGAAAAGACTGGTGGCTTGTTTATATTAACTTAGACAACCCTCCCCTAAAAGCTAACTTTTGAGGTTGAGTTAGGTCCAGATATCATATCTTTACCTGGGCGGCAAAGGGTGTTGGAATGGGTTAGAGTCCTCATTGGTCTCCTTATATGGACTTAGACAACCCTTTCCTCATGAGATGCCTTTTGTGGCAAGGGGTGTTGGAATGGGTTAGAGTCCACATTGGTCTCCTTAGATGGACTTAGGCAATCCTCCCCTCATGAGATGGCTTTTGTGGTTGAATTAGGTCAGGTGTCATATCTTTACGGGTATCTTCTCATGTTACCACAAATTACAAAGACCGAAAAACCAATTTGAGCAGCTTCCCCTAACTATTCACACTATTCACAAAATCAGAATTTGCAGATTGACTAAATAGTTTCTAGTCAGTGCTATAAATGCAACATGCCAACAAAATCAGAATTTGCAGATTAACTAAAGAGTTTCTTGTCAATGCCATAAATGCAGCTTGCCAACATCCTCTTTTCCTATAACATTAGCTAGCTTAATAAGGCAAGAATCACATAGAAACCAATGTTCTATTATTAAGATATATCTTTAGTAATCCCATAATTGTACAAATAACATATTCCAAATCCTTCGGGATACCTCCCGAGGAAAATCTCAAATTTGGATCCCGAATTGCCAAAGCACAACTTTGCACACTATTACTTAATATTGATCACTATTGAGCAACCAGATAATATCATTTAACAAAGTCTAGTAAAGTAGATCTATCAATCTCAGAAACTATGCACTTTATATATTATAACTGAAATCCTATTTGCATGAACTTAAAATCTTTCAATGCTGATAATTACTCAGCAATCAGCACATTATAGTTTATTCAATAAATTATACACCAAAATTTGAAACTCAATCCTTAATTAGATCCAACAGTAAGATGGTTTAAGTAGCAAAACACACACAAGAAACATTAATTCAAAAAATTTTAAAATAAAAAGAAGAACGAAGAATCCTTACTTTGAACTTTAGCAGCAGAAGCTGAGATGAAGAAAATGCAAAGAAGAAGAAACCTTTGAAGCATTGCCATTTCTGTACAGAAGATGTCGGTGGGAGTGGGGTGGGTGGGTATATAGAAGAAGCTAGCTGTTGAGCAGAGGAAAAAAGTCTGTTTGTACGTCTACTTCGATCTGATGTATTTAAAAACTCACCATCATATTCAACTTAATTACTGTAATGCCACCAACTGAATTTCATTTTCATTTTCATTTTTCATTTTCAACTGATAAAGAAATAAAAACTAATGCATAATGACCAAACTGCCCTTAAGGTGTCCATGTGAAACAATTTCGTGCCCTAAACTAGAATACTTCTGAACTCTGAAGGACTTCTCTAATCTGTATTTACGCTGAAAAGTCTTATTTTAAATGTAAAGGTTATCTATTAGAGGAGATTCCTTTTTAAGGGCTCGAATCGATCCATATGGTTAAGGATCTCACCACAACAATATTGTGGTAGTTCTAAACAACTTGGAACATAAGCTAACAGGATTCTCTAAAGTTGATGCTCCTACATCCATATAGTAAGTTTGTGAGTGATTTGAAATTTGAGTTATTATTATTCATCAAATTTGTTATGGACTTTACTTCATTAAAAATACTTCATATAGCTGAGTATGGAAAAAATCTTGTTGGGAGCTCCACTCCGAATGGGTCCTGCTATACGCAATCCAAATTTAGCCAGAGCTCCAATGTGGGATCCAGACACCGAGTGGGAAACAAAAAAAGATACTTCATATAGAATAGGGCTTATGTATCATGTATAGCAACTATGTTTGATGAATATATTCATTGTCCCCAAAAAAAGTAATGCATGATATAGATACCTCTAACTACTTGTGCTTACAAATTTTGCCAATAATTAGTCCATTGATTGCTCAATTATCAAAGACAAGAAGTGTATATCAATTATTTACCCTGCCTTGATATGAACACTGGCATTAAACTATCTCTTTTAGTATATTCTATCATATATACACTAGTACTGTTTGACAAATAAGACAAAGTAAATACATTTCAAAACATCCAATAGTGATTATTTGTCTATCTTGGTTCAAGAACTGTTAACGTCGCGTTGTTACTTAGACATTCTTCATCAGTAGATTCCATTGGATTCCTCTCTGTGAAAAAACCTGGATGCTTTGGTTGAGGAAGAACCAGACCTTCATTTCCCAACCAAGAAACCACTGATGCCATTATAGGTCTATCCTCTGGGAGTTTTTGGACGCATAACAAACCGACCTGGATGCATCTCAACACTTGAGATTCTGAAAATGATTCTTTCAAACATTCATCCATCAGTTCCAACGCGTTGCCTTCAGTCCAAAGTAACCATGCCTATATTACAAACAGAACACATTTATACAAATGTATTCGCAATAGAAAGCTAAGAGCGAATTAAGGGAATGAAGTTGTGTAATGTATATGCTTACATGTCCCAAAAGATTGTGAAGATGTTCCAAATGATGAAATTTCCTGTTCCTTCTGCCACTAACTATTTCAAGAATGATTACGCCGATGCTGTATACATCTGATTTTACTGAATACTTCCCATCAACAATATACTCCGGGGACATATATCCACTACATCAATTCAATAAGTTTATGCTCATGTACTGATCTAATATAATAAAGATTATACGATTTAAAGATGTGTAGAAACTTACAATGTCCCTACTATACTCTTAGTTTCTCCTTCCACTTGATCTCCACCAAATATTTTGGCAAGGCCGAAGTCAGAAATTTTGGCATTCATGTCAGTATCTAATAGAATGTTGCTGGTCTTGAGATCTCTGTGAATAATTCTTAATCTTGAGTCCTGGTGAAGGTAAAGAAGACCTCGAGATATTCCTATAGCAATTTCAAAGCGGTTCTTCCATGAAAGTGAAGTTTTTCTGCTTGGATCTGCACAATGTAGAACTAATCATTGAGTGATGCAGAGATATTGAGGACTTATATCAAGTACTATTTATTAATGGATCATGAAAAGCAGACCAAAAATGAAATAGTCCAAGCTAGCATTGGGCATAAACTCATAGATTAGCATCCTTTCTTCTCTTTCAAGGCAGCAACCCAAAAGCTTAACAAGGTTCCTGTGTTGCAGCTTGGAAATGAGAACGAATTCATTTTTTAACTCTTGAAAGCCTTGTCCAGAATGCTTTGATAGCCTCTTTACTGCTATCTCTTGTCCATTTGGTAGGATACCCTGAAATTTATGTCAAGGGTCAAAGATGCCATTTCAAGTTAGACGTTGAGGATCAAAGTTGATTTACCTTGTAAACCGGTCCAAATCCACCCTTCCCGATCACATTCTTAGCAGAAAAGTTCCCAGTGGCACTAGTAACAGTAACTAAATCAAACAATGGAAGCTCCATGTCCTCATTTTCAACAGCTGGACCTGTCAATATACATTCGCCCACCACAAACATGATATCAATGAGAATTTGGTAAAGGCAAACAATGTCAGCTAGATAGAAAATTCACCTAGCCAGCACAGCATTTAGACTTGACAATTTTCTTATAAAGTTGGTAGACAAGAGTGACTCAACTATATTTACCTATTCTTCTTTTCTTTCTTTGGAAGGAAAACCAAGCTAAAAAGCTGAGGATAAATGTTGCTACCACTGCTGAAATGACACCAATCAGGACTGACATCTTTCTCCTCCGCTTCCTGTCTGAATATGTTCAATAATTAGTTCATAAGCAGTCTTCAATTTACATATACGTCTTATTTTGTTATGAAGCCTGCAAACTTGGTTATCAGTAATTTGTTGACCAGGGATTCGTCAGTTTCAAAGATCTGTGTATTTATATTGAACAACAAAATGAAAATGGTGCAGAGTAGGGTCATTACCTATTTCTGAAGCAGCAACTCTCACAAACAGATTTTGTTCATTTTGGCTCAACTCTCGAATATCAATGAGATCTCCGAACCATAGTAAGCATCCACTTCCGCCATTTCTAACATCAAGATTTGAGTAGGCTGTACAGTTGCAATCAGCTAAGCATAATTTCTCACATTCTTCAAGGTTAATGCTCTCATTAAACCAGGAGTTTCTAGAATCAGGCATCTTGATGCCCGTAAATTTAAGAAAACCGTCTTGTTTACAATCCAAAGAAGTTCTCCTAACACAACCAGTAGCCCAATCTGCTGCAGACTGTTGAGGAACCCTGTGAAGTCATAATTAAGTAATCAATATAATATCTATGTGCTTGGCCCAAGAAATAGAATCAAGCACACACATGAAGGGGAGTGTAAAATCATAACTAAGTAATCAAGTGTGTTATCTCTAATAGTTTAAGGTTTGATGATCACTCATTTTAACAATACCTAGGATTGAAACCTTGCAAGCAGTCACATGGAGGGGAGTTATTGATGCTGCAACTTGCATAAGGACCGCATAAAGCAAATCGACCACAGCTATCAATCTGTACTGTTGAGTACAGAAACCAGCTTTGACTGCTCTCAATCCATGTTATGTGTTCTATCAGCCCTTCCGGGTTAAGCACCATCCTGCTGGGCAGTGACTCGTTCTTAAGCTTGAATTGGTAGTAAATTTGCTGCTGATTAATAATAAACTCGGAAGTGTAATGTGTATTTGGTTTACTATTTGCACTAACAGTAAATGCATTACCTTTCCATATCCCTGAGCTAGACACTATAGTTGAATTTTTCCACACAAACAATTGCGGGTATCCATGAGATTCAAGACGGTTTATATATTCACCAGGAGAAGGGTCATCAATGCTCTTCCATGATGACATGTACCAATCCATGCCCGTGACCAAATTACGTCCAAGTTTCATGCCAGGTATAAAAGTATTTCCTGGATAATCAAAACTCTGCCACGCGAAATTAATTTTCAGGTCTCTTTCATTTCCATCATTGACAACAAGGTTCCCGGAATCCAGAATCCGTGCTTTTGGATCCTTTAATGATCTTGATGAGTTTGATGACCAAATTGAGGTATTGGAATTATCAACAAGTACAAGAATCCCATTGGGTTTGAGTGTTAACACTCCTGATGTGTCATTAAGTGGAATATCTCTGTTTGCAACCCAGACAACAGTTCTAGGTGATATCTTCTTGTACCATATGCCAACATAACGATTCTTCGGATTTCCAGGACTGAAAAATCCAAGCTCATAAATCCCACCAGCTGAAACAATTGTGTCACCATCTCTAATGGATTCATCTGTTGTGATCGTGTCTAATGCCGCGGAAATTAGTAAGATGAAGAAAAAATGTGAGCAAAGGAATAAAAACAGTAGCCCTTTTGATAGACTCTGACTCATGTTTTTGATTGACAAGTTCAAAAAAGCCTTGACACAGAAAAGATACTGATAACTTTTTTTTTCTCAGTTTAGAATTAACAACCATGTCCAAAAATGTTTTATATAAATAAAATGAAAAAAAGAACTTTTTTGAATGAAAGGCCAATCACAACTATAAAATGAAAAAAAGAACTTTTTTGAATGAAAGGCCAATCACAACTGCTGCCAAGAATTAGATGTCAAAGTTTGAACTTGTCAAAAGTTGTATGCCTTTGACTTTCCATTTCCACCATTAACCTGGTGTTTGCAATTGCACGCTATAGAACTATTCATACAAACATATGGCATGCATCTATTTTCTTGGTGTAAACACATGAAATGTATTGGAGTAAATTGCCTAAAGTCTTCCTAAAATGATTTAGTGTTAATGACGATGTGACATCTTGGACTAGTAATGGCAGAACTAAGAAAAAAGGAACTGATGTCTTTTTTATTTTCTATTAATATTAATGCATTTATTTTAAAAAGTTGTAAAGTCACCATCTAATATTCAACTGAGAGAAAAAACAAGAAGAATCTTCAACTTCTTGAATGGAGTCACTTTTGATGAGGAGACTTTAGTTTCTCCCAAAAAGTCGAACTTTCCCCTGTGAATCCGGATTAATTGTGCTACAAAGCGTGTGCTGAAATGTGTGTACACACTTTCAGATTTTCTTCTCATTAATTAGATATTATATGTGTTGATTGAACTTGAATTCACAATGCCCTTATCCGATTACAACGAGCTAACTGATAAATTGAGCTGATTCTGTTGAATCCATTGAATTCCTTTCTATAAAAAATCCAGGCTGCTTTGGTTGAGGAAGAACCAGGCCTTCATTTCCCAACCAGAAAACTACTGATGCCATTGTAGGCCTATGCTCAGGGTGTTTTTGGGCGCACAACAAGCCAACCTGGATGCATCTCAACACTTGAGATTCTGAAAATGATTCTTTCAAACATTCGTCCATCAGTTCCAACGCTTTGTCTTCAGTCCAAAGTAACCATGCCTAAATTACAAACAGAACACATTTATACAAATGCATTCACTATAGAAAAAGTGAGTTAAGGGAACGAAGTTTAGTGTTGTATGTGCTTACATGTCCCAAAAGATTGTGATAATGTTCCAAATGATGAAATTTCCTGTTCCTTCTGCCACTGACTAGCTCTAGAATGATAACGCCGATACTAAATACATCGGATTTTACTGAATATTTCCCATCAACAGCATACTCAGGTGACATATATCCACTGCATCAACTCATCAAATTTAAGTTCAAGTACTGATTGAATGTCTATCATAAAGATTTGTAGAACTTACTATGTCCCTATCACTCTCTTAGTATTTCCTTCCACTTGTTCTCCGCCAAAAATTTTGGCAAGGCCAAAATCAGCAATTTTGGCATTCATGTCTCCATCTAGTAAAATGTTGCTGGTCTTGAGGTCTCTATGAATAATTCTAAATCTTGAGTCCTGGTGAAGGTAAAGAAGACCTCGAGATATTCCCACAGAAATTTCAAAGCGATTCTTCCATGCAAGTGAAGCTTTTCTGCTTGGATCTGCACAATGTAAAACCAATTCTTGAGTGATAACAGAGATATTGAGGACTTATCAAGTAGTAATATTTAGTTAATGAATCACGAAAAGCAGACCAAAAATGAAACAGTCCAAGCTAGAGTTGGGCATAAACTCATAGATTAGCATCTTTTCTTCTCCTTCAAGGCAGCAACCCAAAAGCTTGACAAGGTTCCTATGTTGCAGCTTGGAAATGAGAGCAATTTCATTTTTTAACTCTTGAACGCCTTGTCCAGAATACGTTGATAGCTTCTTTACTGCTATCTCTAGTCCATCTGGTAGAATACCCTGCGATTTTCTCTCTAGGGTCAAATATGCTTGTAGCTTTTAGTTGAAGATCAAAGTTGATTTACCTTGTAAACCTGTCCAAAGCCACCCTCACCAATCACATTCGCAGAAGAGAAATTTTCAGTGGCAGTAGTAACAGTAACTAAATCAAACAATGGCAACTCGAGGTCCTTGTTTCCAACTTCTGAACCTGTCAACATATATTTTCCAATCACAGACATGATATAATTGAACTTTTCCTCAATCATTTGATAAAGTCGAACAATGTTAGCTAGATGGAGGTAAATAAGCATTCACAGTTAACAATTTTCTAATACCTCCAGTATGTTTATCTGTTTTTTTGTTCTTTCTTTGGAAGGTAAACCAAGCTAGAAAGATGAGGATAGAAGTTGCTACTAGTGCTGAAATGACCGCAATCAGGGCTGACCTCTTTCCCCTCCGATTCCTGACTGAATCTGTTTAATAAAAAGTCCATAAGCAGTCTTCAATTGACATATGAATTGCTTCCGCGACTATCATATGTTACTATCAGTGACATCAGATAGTAAAGTTCCTTAAACTCTAAGGTGTCATGCTTATATTGTGCAAAAGAACACAAAAATGGTATAGAGTAGGGTCATTACCTAATTCTGAAGCAGCAACTCTCACAAACAGGTATTGCTCATTTTTGTTGTACTCTCTAATATCAATGAGTTCACCGAACCATAGTAAGCATCCACTTCCGCCATTTCTTATATCAAGATTTGAGTAGGCTGTACAATTGCAATCAGCCAAGCACATTTTCTTGCATTCTTCAAGACTAATGCTTACATTATACCAGGAGTGTCTAGAATCCGGCATCTTGATATTCCTAAATTTAAGAAAACCATCTTGGTTACAAGACAAAGAAGTTTTCCTTATACAACCATTAGACCAGTCCACTGCATACCATTGTTCAGGATACCTGTGAAGACATAATTAATGAATTAACATGGTATTGGAACAGACAGAGGAGTCGTGTGAAGGCATATTTTTAACAATACCTAGGCTCGAAACCTCGCAAGCAGTCACATGGAGGAGAGTTATTGATGTTGCAACTTGCATAAGGACCACATAAAGCAAAACGATCACAATTATCAGATTGTGCTGATACGTAGACTATCCATCTGTGATTACGCTCGATCCATGTTAGGTGTTCTACCATTCCAGCCTGATTGATCACCACCCTGGTGGGCAGGGACTCATTAAGCTCGTATTTAAAGTAAATCTCCTTCTGTTTAATAACAAACTCGAAAGCATAATATATAGCTGGTTGATTTTTAGGACTACTACTAAATGCGATACCATTCCATGGCCCTGTGCTATATACTATAGACGAATTTTTCCACACGAAAAATTGAGGGTATCCATGAGAATCAAGACGTTCTATATATTCACCCGCAGCAGGATCATCAGTGCTCTTCCATGACTCTATGTACCAATCCATGCCCGTGACCAGATTACGTCCAAGCTTCATCCCAGGTAATAAAGTATCTCCTGGATAATCAAAACTCTGCCACACGAAATTAACTTCTCGTTCACTATTATTTCCATCACCGACAACAAGGTTACCGGAATCCAGGAGCCGTGCTTTTGGATTCATTAACAATCTTGATGAGTTTGATGACCAAATTGAGGCATTGGAATTGTCAACAAGTACAAGAATTCCATTGGGATTGAGTAATAACACTCCTGAATTGTCATTCAGTGGAATGTTTCTGTTGGCAACCCAGACAACAGTTCTAGTTGCTATCTTCTTGAACCATATGCCAACGTAGCGATTCTTCGAATTTCCAGGGCTGAAAAATCCAAGCTCGTAAACCCCTCCAGCTGAAACAATTGTGTCACCATCTCTAATTGGTTTTTCTGTTGTGATTGTGTCTAATGCTGTGGAAATTAGCAAGATGGAAAGAAAAATGGAGCAAGAAGATAAAAAATGTTTCCCTTTCATGATTATGATGATTCGTGCCTTCAATTTTTCGAAAAACTTAAAGCCTTGATAACACACACACACAAAAAAAACACCAGTTCCTTTCATTGACAAGCTAAGGTCAATTTTTTTTTCACTTTTAACTGTTGAGGGGCAGCTAAGAATTAGGATGTGATGGGTCTGAACCTGTTCATTGTTGACTTCTAAAAGTATTAAACTTATAAGAATTAGGATGTGATATGATTGAACATTCGATAATAATGCTTAATCGTAGTTAATTAGTTGGCAAATTATATACATAGACACTCAAACTTGTCATCAACTACGAGCTAGTTAGACACATTAACTATCGTTAAGACACCTTTAGTTGGCATAAGTGTTGCTCGTGCACGAGTCAGGCAAACCACACGCGTGAGCTACAAACTGCCATGACATGTTAAATGATGGAACAATGTTGAGTCAGTACTAGTGCGAGTTCTGTGGATTCAACTGCTTAGCTCAAACTATGTATATACATAGGTAAACATAAATTAAAATGTATGCATGTAAGCTTTTGCTTAATCATTGCATATTCAACTCTATGAAACAAAAACCATGCTGATTAATTAGTGTCATCTAGAAGTTAGATTAGTACTACAGGTCTCGTGCTTTAAGTTAACATAGGCATTCTAGATCTATTACAACAACAATAATTGGGTAATGCTAACACCCTGCCTATATGGCCCACCAGGAACTAGGGTGGCTTGGATTGGAGTAATGATCAAACATGACGTTTGCTTGCTGAACTTGGTTAAAAAATAAAGTTGTGTTTTTGCTAAAAGTTGACGGTAAACGTTTGATCCTAACACATACTCAATATAATCTCACGCGTGAATGTGGACAGGTTGTTTTCTTCTCTTTCGAATTGTCAACTCTCAAAACCAATCAGATACGTTGGATATTGTAATAAGAAACAAATGTACTAGTTGCATCTAATACACCAATCTCTTTCATTTGACTAGATGCGTTTACCATTGTGCCAAACGTTATTGCCATAGTCGAAAGCAAAGCCATGCTGCTCTTGGGTACCACTTATTAGGATCAAGTGGTTACTATCATGCCAAAAACTATAGCCGATAGTAAAGGTTAACTCTATTTCTTAATTTAATCCACCAAATAAACACTATGTTCAATCATGACTCTAATCTGGGCCACCTTAGCCCCCATCATGACCTTGCCATAGACAAAATGTTGATGGTACCCAACACTTACTACTACAGTACTATAGATGTTACTAATGCAATGAGGATTCAATAATTTATATATATATTTATAAAATGGATCCTATTTGCATAGTGTATGGGAATTGATCAAATGAACCTCTTCATCATGCCCTTTAATGTCAGACAAAATGTTGCATAACATGAACCACAATTTAATGATCAAGAAGATTTTATTTGTATTATTAGAGTGTTAGCTGTCAATAACTGAGAAAAAATATTTTGTATTATTAAAGCAAGTGGGCTTACCGAAAGTATGTTACTTTGTCGGTAAGCAAGGCTAGTGGCTAAAATAATTTATGTAACTGTAGTTTGATAGAAATTAAAGAGCCATAAAAATAAAAATAAAAAATAGAAAGAGTCATAATATTAGAAGGGATATAAGTAGGTTTCAGCCCATATGCCCATTTCATCATGTTCAGATCATGAAGTCTCTTTCGATTAAAAAATAAATAAAATTATCCATATTTTATTTTTACGTCAAATCAATAAATATATAGTTATGTATTTGTTGAATTTCTATCACATTACTATAATTAACTAAAATGCATATTTATTTCATTTATTCACTTAATCATATATATATACTAGTCCTTAGGAACGTGCGTTGCACGTTTATCCCATATTATTGAATTATTATATAGAAAATATTGAAATTAACAATATTAACTTTATCATTTACATCATATTCATTAAATAAAATTCATAATAGTGGAATGTTTTTTTTTTTAATCATAACAGTGGAATGTTGCATTTGCCATCAAGCAAGAAATGTGAAGCTAATTAAGATAATATAACATGTAATGGTATGAATATGTCGATATAACTTATCCTCAATAATCTCTCATTACGCACTTCACACGTAGATCCCATATCCAATTTGAAAACATAAAAAGAAAATTTTAAGAATAAATATAAAAATCACTTACAAAGGAACCAATTTACATGAAAATAATGGTATGAATATGTCGATATAACTTATCCTCAATAATCTCTCATTACGCACTTCACACGTAGATCCCATATCCAATTTGAAAACATAAAAAGAAAATTTTAAGAATAAATATAAAAATCACTTACAAAGGAACCAATTTACATGAAAATAATGGTATGAATATGTCGATATAACTTATCCTTCGAGAGATATGTATCCTTCATCTACATCAATTAGAATAAAAAATAAAATATAAAAATTATTAGTGTATAAAAGAGTATATATTTTTATTTCATTCTAATCCATACATAGTGATAAAATCTATTGTCTTCCAAATATTCATTCTCTATCTATCAATATTATCACATATGATGACGTCTTCGATCCAAATGCAACACTAATGCTACTATCCCTAACAGTTCTAAAAAGACAATGATATTCTTTTTCTTCTGTACCTAGAAGATCTAGTGTAAAGGAACCAAAAAAGTAATATTGGAGCAAAATGAGGTAAACAACATAATAGTTAGATATGGTCATAATTATTATCTAGAATAATTTTCTTCCAAAGATGATAGCTAGGTCAGATCTGAAACATGAAAAATTAAGCTCTAACAAAATAAGGTGAAAAATTAAATGGAAGAAAGAAAAGCAACGACTATATATATATATTATATTATGTGAAATGACAAAGAAAGGAAGAAGAGAGTTCAATTCACTTACCCAAAGTATGTAAATCAGTGAAAGCACCGATTTGAATTCCTCCGACAATTACCTAAAAACTAAATATTAAAAGAGAATTTTCTCAAAATATGAAAATATATTAGATAATGTTAAAAACTAACTTTGTGAATAGATGGATTTCAACCTCCGATCCGTGAAAATTTCCAATATCCATTTCCATCATTGCATGCTCCGTATGAACTTTTAGAACTTATACACATTTTTCTTCTGTAAAAAGCAAAAAAATACAATGAAAGTAATAAGTAATCAACTAATGTATTTAGAGAAAAATGAAAATTTTATTTAATAATCATGCATTTTTGCAAAAATAATGACCATCGGCTGGCCACCTCTTTGCTACACAAATATTATATATAGCTCTCCAAATTTATTACCCTCGCAACTCTTCATTCTCTTTATTTTATATTATAGCTCTCAAAATTTATTACCCTTGCAACTCTTCATTCTCTTTATATTTTATTATCATAATTATATAGCAATAAAGTGAACATTTCTCTCATAATTAATTACCTTGCAACTCTTCATTCCCCTTCTTTATTATAATTATTATAACAATAGGTGAATATTTATAAGTAGAGAGAGAATAATTAAGATTAGGAAGGAAATGAGAAGCCAACAAACGGAGAAAACAAACAAGTAGGTATATGATGATTAGCATTAGTATAATAATATAATAATATGATATATGATTATTATTTAATTAATTAATTTTTATTACTTTTTTAATTTAATATAGGGTTATTTTCATAATTCAACTCTTGAGGTTAAGCTCTTCCCACTTATAATAATATATGATATAAAAGAGAATCCTAGGCCCGCCTACGTGGCACCACCACAAACCAGGATTCATTTTTTAATTTATCCCCTTTCATGAAAAGTTGCGACTTTAATGAAAAGTTGTGACTTTTATGAAAAGTTGCGACTTATATGAAAAGTTGTAACTTCTATGAAGAGTTGCGACTTTTATAAAAGGTTATGACCTTTCCGAAGAGTTGTAACTTTTCCAAAGAGTTGTGACCTTTCCAATAAGTCAGAATAAACATTTGTTCACACTACCCTTTGTTGTCTCACTATAAATAGAGGGATTTCCTCTCATTTTAAAACAACAAAAATTCTGAACTTCTTCTTCTTCTTCTATACAATTAAATATTCATGTACAATTTTTTCCATTCTGTTTCATCCTATTGTTACAGATTCTGGTATGTTTTTTTACAGTCATTAATTTATGCTTATGTTATTAATTGTTGTTTTTGAGTACATGTTTTAAACTTTGTTATTTATGTTTCTGCAAATTATTGTTTAAGTATTTGTTAGTACAGATTAAACAACACACATTACTTGAGTATTCACGCAAGTTTTCTCTACTGAAATTGTTGAAGGTACAGTAAAATAATTCCTTAAAGATCTATATTATTATCTCTTGAAGACAAAATTCAAATTTGGTATGCCATTGTAAAGACAGAAGGACCTTAAAAACTTTATCTCACCTTGATATGCGAAGTGAACTAGGAAAAGAAGACAAGAATTAATAAACATTTGACATGTGTTCAAGAATGTGCCGGATGACCTATAGAGGAATATGACTAGACTGTAGCCTCTTTTAATCCCAAAGACATAGATAACTACACAATAAATTTATTGCTCATATTCAATATGAAGTATGGATAGATTCTCAAGTTTACTGCAAGTTGTAAAAACTTTCTTGAAGTAATAGATGTGTTTCTCGACACTGTGATTGGAATAGAGGTGTAGTTTCAAATTGAACTTCATCACTCTGGTATGTTGATTTTTAAAAAACACTCAAACAAACTGAATAATTTGTGTAATCTTTTTCCCTTTCAAGTATATATAATAAGTTGAATTGTTGTCCAATTTGATACATTCTCCCTTTAATTTTTTATTTTAATAATTACTTATGATACATTTAAATGGGAAACTTTAAAATGATATATGTGATTCAAAAGGTAGAGCTGAACTTTTTACATGTTAGAATTAGAATATTTATTCATTTGTTTCATCATTTTAAAATTTATTTATCCCTTCACCAACGATTTTTTATTTATTAGAAAATCTAATATCTCCGGTATGGTTGATGTTCATTTGAATCCCCAAAAATATCAAGTACTAACACTTCCTGGGCAAAAAGATAAATTATAAAATTAAATTAAAGATGATTGATTGAAGGATAAATGATAAGATATTATAATTATCATCTTCCTTTACATTATTAATGTTTGTTATATGTAATCTTGTATGTAAGATAATATAGTGTTTTAGTTTTAATGACTCATAGATTTTAAGTATTATTTTATAAATTCAATGATTTTAAATTTCCGCGCGAAGCGCGGGTAATTTTACTAGTTATCTATAATACTTAATCCGTCTCATATTATATGTTCATATTATTAAAAATAGTTGATCCAAGTTACTTGTCATGACAGAAAATAGAATTTATTTTTAAAAATTCACTTTTTATTTAATTAATTCTTTTTGAAAGTATTAATATTGCAAAGTTCCAAAAAAGTTCCTCCATTACTAATCTTGATCGATAAGGCACATAAATAAAATGCATTAATTATCAAATGTGAATGAAATTAGCTTGTTTAAAGAGCATGCAAAGAAGAAAGTGGACAAATAACATGAAACAGAGGAAGAAATATCTTGTTTGCAATTCAAACTTTCAAAATTAACTTATTTTTGAGAAATACTTATAATAAAAAACTGTTTGTGTTTGTCAATAAATTTAATCAAATAAATTATAAATAATATAATTTAACGTAAATATCAAATGCGAATAAATATTTAGGCCTCTTTTGCACAAATTGACAGAATGATTCGGATGGTTCTTGAATCTTGACATTAATAAACCAATCTCACATTGATGAAAGAACTGGGCAATCGTCAGCCCAGCCGCATGTTAATAAATGTCAGTCCAATAATAAAATATCCAATAATTCTAATTTTTAAGTTTCCAACCAACTGAATTTAATGGTTCAAATGTATATGTCATTCTTATTATAAATAGTTGATTCATAATATTTGTTATTTTATAAAATCAATGCATAAATTATAACATTCTTCCTATTTTACCCTTGTGAGTTATTAGTCTTGAAAGTATAAATTTGACTAACATAGAAAAACTAAATGAATAATGTTCATTGGTCAAATTAATTAATCAAAATAAATTAATTCATATTCATTGATTGAAAAGTTTGACTTAAAAAAAATTAAACAAGAGTAGAATGGTAAACTTATTTAATTTCTTAATGCACGTCGAATAAAAAATGGTGACATATAAATAAGAACAGGGGAATACTATTTTGGAAAAAAATAAATTACTAAAAATTAACTCCCGAAACAAAGGTAGTTTTAAAAAATTGTTAATATTAGAAAACCATATATCTTCATTTTGGTCTCTATCGATATATATCAAAATCTCCTTGAATATTATATTTCATATATAACGTGAAAATTATTTTCTAACTGTTAAAGAGCAAATTGCAAGAGTTCAAGTAGAAAATTATATTTTCAGCATGACAAAACTTGTCTTTTTGTTTTTATTTTTTCTCAGTATAATATTATAATATGGTGACTTTTTTTTTTGGTTGAAAATATGGTAGACTTCATAACGATTTACAATTTAAAGGAAAAAAAAAAAGAAATGAATGTGTCAACCGTGAAAGCTGGAATTAGTTATTTTGACCTGATTAATTACATTAGGAAACGGAAAAAATATTTCGTTGTATTTTTTTAATCTGTCACTTCACTTAAAAGATTTGGTCAAATATTTGTCTCTTTAAAAAATTATTTAAAAAAAACATAAATCGATTTTAGGGATAATTTTGCACTTTTAATCTTTTAATGAATGATGAATTTTAATTTTAATTTTTATAATATTCGATTAAGTGTATGTAATTTTTAGGTTATTGTTTGAATTATATCACTCTCAAATATGAAATAACATTATGAATTCAACTAATACAACATTAATGAAACGATTTAACACTAAATAATTCATTAACGTTATAAAGACTCAAGATCAGAGAAATAAAGAAATACATAAATTAATTAAAGATTATATATACATTTGATCAGATTATAATATGGGAAGTCAAAAGATTACAACTTTGAAAACTATAGTCTTAGGCTGTTAGCCGCCTATAGAGTTTTTGGAAAGCAAATATTAGTTCGTTTCCTTAAAATTAAGGGAAAATGAGTTTTACATTTTACACCTAATAATATAATTTAATAGTTATTAAATTGAAAATCATGAGGTAAAATTAAAAATATCAAACGATTTTATTTTATGTAAAAGGTCTTGCATCTTATATATGTATGATGCAAGGTAGCATGTACATCATAAAATTAGTCGAGATGAGTTCATTTGAATCTTAAATTTTTGACACCAAGTATAAGTACATATATATAAAAATTTATTAAAATCTCAAGAAATATTAAATCTAAACCCCTAATTCCACATTCTAACACTATAATAAACTGAATTTCAAAAAAAATAAAAATTTAATTCATTGAATTTTTAAGTTTGGATCCATCTACAAATGTACCCAAATTAACCCAAAAAATTAACACATATTTCATAAAATTACTCGAGATAGGCTCAAATTGATCCGATCACACGAGTCATAAAATAAACCCATTGCATCCAGACAAAAGTCGGTTGACTATGCCGACAAAGTTTTAACAATAAATTATCACCATTCACCTCTACCCCATCTCTATATTTATTACACAAAGCTAACCTTTCTCCCCAAGAAAAAATAACTTGAAAAAATGATATACTCAAATGTGTGGCACGGGAAATGTTTTATTTTTAATTAGAGGTCTCGAATTTGAATTTTGAATATGGAAAAAAAATTATTGAAGTAGATTTGAGCTCTGTATATGAATTAAATCATGTTGGAAATACCATAATGAGTCGAGCCCAGCCCAAATTAATATTTGATTATTGTACCATTTTAATTCTCACCTGTCTCATCAACATAACAAGAATCTTCAAAATGGTCCAAATTAATAGCAAGGTCAATAAATTTTACTAATTTTTATAATTGGGTTATTTCAAGCTTTTAGTTCGTGGAGTCTACTGCCGAATTGCGGTGGGTAATTATTAGTTAAAAATACAGTTGTCGATTATTGATTGGTTTAACATGGGCTAGTGACTTTTACCTTTATCAAACTAAAGTGTTTATTTGATCACTAGCTAAGTTTGAATATGTAACTTATAATACATGTCTAAGTTTAAGGGACTATTGATAATTAGCCTATTATTTATAAATCGAATGTGTTTAAGGAGCTATCGCGATACTTAGCCTATTATTTATAAGTCGAATATTGTAGACATGACTTTCTGATTCTAAACTGGTGGGCAGGAAAAAGTTAAGCTTGACAATCAATAGTATTGATTTTGTTTTTTTGTGTCAGCTATGTTGAGGCTGTTCATTTGCTGTCAATTTCTCTTCATGTTACTAACTT